GGCTAGCATGTCTGCACTCGGTGGGAAGGTCAATGTCTATCAGTATTGCGTACATTGTCATTATCATTAATAACGTAGCCAGCGCAACATTTTACTCCATTATGCAAATATTTTTGTGTTCACTTGAGAACAAAAGATTTCTAAAGAAGTAAATAATGGTATTCCTTTAGAATGTACCTTGTGGGAGTATAAATATGCAGACGGTTTACGCTAAAGGTTATCGTTACGTCGTTGACGAAGAGGCCAAAATCGTTTTCTCGAAAAATGTCCTTCTGGGGGGTGTTCCATTTTTGCTCTGGAGATTTCCGGCTTAGTCGGTCTGCTTTTGGTGTTGAACACGATTATCTTTAATGGACTATAGAATTGAAGAGCATGTACATTCATTGTCATGGCCATGCTGTGAAATGAAAGTAGTTTTGTTATTAATCCAACGATCAACTCTGTTTTATGGAGATTTGTATGTGATTAAAAAGTACCTTCAGCATATTCTCTTTCATAGTATCTATGTATCTCCTTTTTGCTCTTCACACAGGCGTCTTGCCTGCCACTTCTAGCGTCAACATCTTTCTACCTGTATGTTCTAATTATATTGTACACTGTGTGTATATTGTACAACTAAAGACACTGTTGTACACTACATTATGTTATTCGCTATATATGATATACAGCATGTATATCGTTGGATATGTAAAATATATTCACAGTACGCTATTATACCTGGAGTGTGTATTATGTTGTAGTGAATGTAAGGTATTAAGACCTTGACATCAAAAATGCTTTAGTAAACACCACACATAAAAATGCCCTCTGGATGATTTATTACAAGTGCTAAATGAACAATTCCTTAATAATTACACACAACATTAACGATACGATGATTTGTTATCCATGCCATGTAAAGAATGGGATCATGGAGTCGGTTGTCGCTTAAAAAATGACTTTCCTAACAGTCAGTGAATAAACAATAACTGTATTTGAAATTAAAGGGAAATCAAACCACTTTTTAATGCTGATTTTGAGGTTTGCTATTTTTGACTTCTAGAGGTAATACGGGCGTCCTTTTATTGACTTCTTCTGTGGTTCAGTCAACCTAAAGGCTTAGTTTTCATCCCATGTCAATTTCAGATCACTAACATTAATTATTTTGTTGGAAACTTATTACAGTAAGCTAGCACCTAAATATTTACACAACACGATCAAACTTACACAGGCTGGCTACACCGCTCATTTTTAAAATGCAAACTTTACAGATGCTTTAAAAACTTTTGTTTATAGATTACTGCTCCTTCTGTTTGGCATCCCAGTCTTGTGAATTGAACATCAAGTTGATTGCCACACCACCCATGTCTTGTGAATTGAGCATCAAGTTGATTGCCACACCATCCATGTCTTGTGGATTGGACATCAAAAGTTGATTGCCACACCATCCATGTCTTGTGAATTGAACATCAAGTTGATTGCCACACTATCCATGTTTTGTGTATTGAGCATCAAGTTGATTGCCACATCATCCATGTCTTGTGGATTGAACATCAAGTTGATTGCCACACCATCCATATCTTGTGGATTGGACATCAAAAGTTGATTGCCACACCATCCATGTCTTGTGAATTGAACATCAAGTTGATTGCCACACCATCCATGTTTTGTGGATTGAGCATCAAGTTGATTGCCACACCATCCATGTCTTGTGGATTGAACATCAAGTTGATTGCCACACCATCCATATCTTGTGGATTGGACATCAAAAGTTGATTGCCACACCATCCATGTTTTGTGGATTGAACAACAAGTTGATTGCCACACCATCCATGTCTTGTAGATTGAACATCAAAAGTTGATTGCCACACCATCCATGTCTTGTGGATTGAACATCAAGTTGATTGCCACACTATCCATGTCTTGTGGATTGAGCAACAAGTTGATTGCCACACCATCCATGTCTTGTGGATTGAACATCAAGTTGATTGCCACACCATCCATGTCTTGTGGATTGGACATCAAGTTGATTGCCACACCATCCATGTCTTGTGGATTGAGCAACAAGTTGATTGCCACACCATCCATGTCTTATGGATTGGACATCAAAAGTTGATTACCACACCATCCATGTCTTATGGATTGGACATCAAGTTGATTGCCACACCATCCATGTCTTGTGGATTGAGCAACAAGTTGATTGCCACACCATCCATGTCTTGTGGATTGAACATCAAGTTGATTGCCACACCATCCATGTCTTGTGGATTGGACATCAAGTTGATTGCCACACCATCCATGTCTTGTGGATTGGACATCAAGTTGATTACCACACCATCCATGTCTTGTGGATTGGACATCAAGTTGATTGCAACACCATCCATGTCTTGTGGATTGGACATCAAGTTGATTGCCACACCATCCATGTCTTGTGGATTGGACATCAAGTTGATTGCCACACCATCCATGTCTTGTGGATTGGACATCAAAAGTTGATTACCACACCATCCATGTCTTGTGGATATAACATCAAATTGATTGCCCACCAAGACAATATTTGAACGTGTCGTTACGATGGACTATAAAGATTTCGTTTGATTTTGGACAATGGCAAAGAAGCTGCTAATTTCAAATTTATCTTCGTTCAAGTAAGTCAAAGAGCGTGGCGCAAATTTCATTACAAAATCTATAATTTAGAACATCAACATTCCGAGAAATGATATTTTTAAACTGTGGGCATTATTTTAATCCCAGTTGTGCGTTTTGTTTTGACTCTTTTTGCCATCTGCTCTGGCGGGTTGACATTTTCCAAACCCGTGTTTTAGTTAACTCATTTCAGTTATCTCGTTTCAGTTTGCCACAAGCAAGAAATAGTGAGGAGAGCACGATGAAAAATAGGATGGACGTTTCGTCAAGTGATGACAACGCCAGACATGTCATAATTCGACCTCTTCTTTTCAAGGAGCAATTTTCGACAAGCTCAAGGTTTTGATTTCCTGTGGAGAAGCTGACGGCGATTGCTTGATTTAAATATGCACGTTCAGAGAATTAATTTTCAATGAAAACTAAGAACTTGATCTTGGAGTTGGTGGCACAAATGAGTTTCAATATTTCAGAGATGAACGGTTTGGTTTGAGAAGCTAGTTGTCGTGTGTGTTTCTTTGGTTTTGCAAAAATTTGTTGCAAGTGGACTGAACCAATCACTTCTGTGGAGAAGGTGTTGTCATAGATTGGTGGGATGAGTAACCTAACTAGTCCCCACCCGAAATAAGATAGGTGGGATGAGTAACCTAACTGGTCCCCACCCAAAATAAGATAGGTGGGATGAGTTAGGTGTAGTTTAGAGGAGTAAATAACGTTATAAGGGATGGGATGTTTTTTTTGAAATACACCCAGAGATGTCAGCCTAAAGTTGTAAGTTTACATTTCATCTCTTTACAAACTGACAATATTGTCAAGGTTTCCCTCTAAATAATAATTATCCCTCTTCCTACTGTTGATACGTTGACACCTCTTGAGCTCACTCCGGAGCACTGAAAGAGGAGATCAGTGTTGAAATGCGACGGGCGCTAGGCGCCAGTTTGTAAAGTTAAAATGACGTATGAGATTTATAATTAAAATTGTTATAATTGCATGTGTATTTGAATGGTTTTCTGCATGTAAAACCCAACAAACTACTATATATTACTTCAGAATTTTCATCAATTTGGTAATCTTATGGATGCCACTCAAATTCTGGATCTTGACGACGATGAGGAAAAAGACTTCGACGTGAAAAAGACGGTAGGTGTTTGGAGGTTATGAATGGTGCCCATGCATGCTGTTGATGGCAATTATCATTCAAATGGGATTGTTGTGCATTGGATGAAACATACGCAAACCATGTATTGTTTCATGGTTGTGACATTGTAACTTGTTATGCTAATTGCTTGTACTGCAACATTGTGACTTGTATTGCTTATTGCTTGTACTGCAACATTGTGACTTGTATTGCTTATTGCTTGTACTGCAACTAACATTGACCATACATGATACATATAAGATATTTTGATGGACAGATAGTGTTAATATCTGGTTAATGCGTGCTGATCCTGCCTGACCAGGATCCATCTCGCTTCACTATGTGGGGCAATTTCCTGCACTGGTACCCCTTAGCGGAAAATTGTACCAGTGAGATCTTGGATACACAATAAAAACATTCCAGTTTGGGATATGATTTGCTTCACCATGATAAATCTGATTTCATTTTAACATCTATGTGAACAACTACCAAATGATTTAGGAAATAGTGATTATTTTAAAATCTAGGTTGGATTTCTGCAAGTTGAATCATTTGGAGATTTTCCAAAGACTTTGTTTCCTGTTTATGAAGGTGAATATTGTGTACAAATAAGATGTAATTCATAAATGTTTTGATTATTTCTAGAATTTAAAGTAAATGCCGCTTGTCAGATTAGACTACAAACATAGTTTGGAAAAATGTGGCCACAAAATGCATCTGTAGTTTCTTTTGAATAGTGTTAGAGCAGAAGATTTGCATGAAATAATTTCAAATGATTAATTCAAGTTAGCATATCTTCAAAATAGGAGAAAACACAATTGGAAGACATAAAAGTTGCAACATAACAATCCCATTGCAAGTAAGAAAATCAATGTTAATTGTAACTGCAAACTTATTTGTTCCTTCATTTGTCAGACAGGTTTCATCTTCTTAGAAAACAAGTAATGTACATATACTTATTTTGCAGGCAGTTTCCAAGAAACATGCGTGTATTTTTGTTCATGGAACAAATCACTTCATTTGTGACTGCAAAAGCCGTAATAAAACTCGAAGAAACCAGGTAACAAGGAAATACTTTCTAGAACACATGATTTTTTCAGACAAAAGTAATCTTAAATTGAAGAAATGTTTAGTATGGCAGGATACTGCATCCTTTAAGTTACTAAAAATTTTATGTTTTTTTCACTGTGTTTGTTACCGTCACCTTTCAATTTTTGTAGATGTTCTTAAAACCTGAAGCATTGTATGAGTTGGTCAACAATGTTGAAATCATGTTGGCAGATGTCAAATGTCAATATTTGTTTTCTTCTGAAGAGGATCTGGTAGGGGGTGGGATTTTCTGCTATATGCTTACATTTATGTAGTCACATATCCTGCTTATAATGTCAATGAATAGTGCCGTGGCTTTGATTGATAAGCTTCAAAAATGAGATCTGTGTAATGTTTAATTTAATAGACCAGAAAGGAAGATGTATCTGATTCTGGGTCTGAGACAGCATCAGAGTCAATGATTCCACAATATAAAGAAGATGAGGTTCGGTTTTATTGCCATCAAATTTAGAAATACATTCAAATGTCTGCAAGCTTGATTGTGCTATGTAAAATTAAAATATTTCGACGTTTGCTTATTTATGTGATGAATTAATGATAAATAAAAGTAAATCAATAAATGAATTTTGTTAATGATTCAAATTTTACATAGCACGATTGCAGTAAGTTTGACAATACCATGTTGCATGTATTGAAAGTTGAACTTTGAATGCAAGTAAAAGACATTTTTTCATTGATTCTATTCAATGATTGAGATAAATTAAACATCATACAAGTAAACTTTCAGAATGCATCTATGCATCTCATTTATAATAAAGCAAAACCTTAAAATACATAGCTTACCTTCATATCAAGGTTCAAATTGTCGAGGGAAAATACTGTGAAATATTCTCTCAGTTTCAGCTAAAGCAATGTGCAAATTGCATAAAATGAATTGCATATAAAAATTCAGATTTAGTTTCATGTGCACATAGAATGGCCATTAACTTTGTGACACAAACGGTGCTATGAAATTATTGCAGTTACATATTTTTCTTTTATTGTATGAAGGTAGATGAAGATATGGATGAAAGAACAGACGACGAGTCGACACAAATTTATGACTTCAAAAAAATGAGAGGTTGTAAATTGCAATTTTCTCCGAAGATGTTTGATATTATCCTTTATCATGTGCTACGTATTATTTAGCCGACAATTGTCTGAACATCCATGAAAACACAGGGGATGAAATGAAAGAGAAGCAAGACAATTGCGAAAGGAAAACGATAGATGGTAAATGTTGAAACATGCAACTTCTCAGTGGTAGTGCTGTAGGGTGTAATAACTTGGCTGAAGAAAGCGAGTGGCGAAGGCGCAAGAAAACACTAGGAACAGTGGTAGTGATGTAGGATGTAAAAACTCGCCTGAAGAAAGCGAGTGACAAAGGCACAAGAAAACACTAGGAACAGTGGTAGTGATGTAGGATGTAAAAACTCGCCTGAAGAAAGAGTTACGAAGGCACAAGAAAACACTAGGAACAGTGGTAGTGATGTAGGGTGTAAAAACTCGCCTGAAGAAAGAGTTACGAAGGCACAAAACACTAGGAACAGTGGTAGTGATGTGGATGTAAAACTCGCCTGAAGAAAGAGTTACGAAGGCACAGAAAACAGGAACAGTGGTAGTGATGTAGGGTGTAAAAACTCGCCTGAAGAAAGAGTTACGAAGGCACAAAAACAGGAACAGTGGTAGTGATGTGGGATGTAAAACTCGGCTGAAGAAAGAGTTAAGGCACAAGAAAACAGGAACAGTGGTAGTGATGTAGGATGTAAAAACTCGCCTGAAGTAAGAGAGTTACGAAGGCAAGAAAACAGGAACAGTGGTAGTGATGTAGGATGTAAAACTAGTAAAGAGAGTTACGAAGGCACAAGGGAAATGTGTAAAACTCGCCTGAAGAAGAGAGTTACGAAGGCACAAGAAAACACTAGGAACAGTGGTAGTGATGGGATGTAAAACTCGCCTGAAGAAGAGAGTTACGAAGGCACAAAACTAGGAACAGTGGTAGTGATGTAGGGTGTAAAACTCGCCTGAAGAAGAGTTACGAAGGCACAAAAACTAGGAACAGTGGTAGTGATGTAGGATGTAAAACTCGGCTGAAGAAGAGAGTTAAGGCACAAGAAAACACTAGGAACAGTGGTAGTGATGTAGGATGTAAAAACTCGGCTGAAGAAAGAGTTACGAAGGCACAAGAAACACGGAACAGTGGTAGTGATGTAGGATGTAAAACTCGCCTGAAGAAGAGGTTAGGGACAATGGTAGTGATGTGGATGTAAACTCGGCTGAAGAAAGAGTTACGAAGGCACAAGAAAACAGGAACAGTGGTAGTGATGTAGGGTGTAAAACTCGGCTGAAGGAGTGACAAAGGCACAAGGAAACAGGAACAGTGGTAGTGATGTAGGATGTAAAACTCGGCTGAAAGAGTTACGAAGGCACAAGAAAACAGGAACAGTGGTAGTGATGTGGGATGTAAAACTCGGCTGAAGAAAGAGAGTGACAAAGGCACAAGAAAACACTAGGAACAGTGGTAGTGATGTAGGATGTAAAAACTCGCCTGAAGAGAGTTACGAAGGCACAAGAAAACACTAGGAACAGTGGTAGTGATGTAGGATGTAAAAACTCGGCTGAAGAAAGAGAGTTACGAAGGCACAAAAAAGGAACAGTGGTAGTGATGTAGGATGTAAAACTCGCCTGAAGAAAGAGTTACGAAGGCACAAAAAGGAACAGTGGTAGTGATGTAGGATGTAAAAACTCGCCTGAAGAAAGAGAGTTACGAAGGCACAAGAAAACACTAGGAACAGTGGTAGTGATGTAGGATGTAAAAACTCGCCTGAAGTAAGAGAGTTACGAAGGCACAAGAAAACACTAGGAACAGTGGTAGTGATGTAGGATGTAAAAACTCGCCTGAAGAAAGAGAGTTACGAAGGCACAAGAAAACACTAGGAACAGTGATAGTGATGTAGGATGTAAAAACTCGGCTGAAGAAAGAGAGTTACGAAGGCACATAAAAACACTAGGGAAGGGCCACAACTCATTTAGTTGAAAAACTTCAAAACCACGTTACCAATAGTTTAACAATATTTCTTCGTGTAGGTTTTTCCGCTGGTATCGCGTTCAGCGACGAGAAAAGGTGAAATATTCTCCTGGCGGCCATGACAACGTGATGGACACCACCAAAACTAGTGATGCTGACACCATTCCACCCACCCAAGTCGACCAATACACTTCTCCTTGCGAACACGACACTGTTGTGGCTGCGACAAACGCTTGTGGTGCTGACACCGTACCATTCACCCAAGTTCACCAGTGTTCTCCTGGTGGCGATGACGCTGTTGTGGCTGCGACACAAACATGTGATGCCCAGACCTTATCATCCTCACCACCCCGCTTTGAGAAAGAAAATGACCAACCACAAGCAGAATTGAAACGGTCGTGTGACGTCAAAGTGATGGAGAGTCCACCTGCTGAAACCATTTCACCAACGCCATTGCACCCTTACAATGAAAGCGCCCAACCTTTGGTGACATTGGAACGGTCGTGTGACGTAAAAGTAATGGAAAGTCCGTGTGATGAAACCATTTCACCATCGCCATTGCACCCTGACAATAAAAACGCCCCAACACTGGGGACATTGAAACGGTCGTGTGACGTCAAAGTGATTGAAAGTCCGTGTGATGAAACCATTTCACCATCGCCATTGCACCCTGAAAATGAAAACGCCCCACCACTGGGGATATTGAAACGGTCGTGTGACGTCAAAGTGATTGAAAGTCCGTGTGATGAAACCATTCCACCAACGCCATTGCACCCCGAAAACGATAACCCCTCGCCCCCGGGGACATTGAAACGATCGTGTGACGTCAAAGTGATGAAAAGCCCGGGCATTGGAAGTTTAACTCGAAATGGCTTAACAAATGTTGAAAGTTCCAAATGGTTTGTGAACATTTAACTATATTACCTAAAATGTCGTTTAAGCTTGTTCGCCCCTAATAATTCTCTTATCCTGTCTCTTTTGCTTCTATTAATTGACGGAAGTGACGAACTTTCCTGCTTTACTAATTTTTTTTTATTGAAACAAAAAGATAGTGATTCTAGTTTCAATTCTAGTTTCAATTCTAGTTTGAATTAATGTAAATATCTATATGGACTGTAAGATATTGCGCCAGAAATTGAGAGAAACATTTTCCCGAAATACCGCTGCCCCTCTACTAACGCAGTTTGCTGTCGACCAATCATTAACGAGACCATCACTCGTACAATACAAATATTTTTGTTTTGAATCATCGTGTCTGAAGAACAATGAACGGGAAAAAATTTTCTAAAAAAAGAAAAATTCCACTTCAAGCGATCTATAACCTTTCATTAAATTATTGAAAATTGATCCTTATTATTAGGAATTTCATGGATATCAATGTTAACGAAAGCTCCGAGGTACGTCATTCCGGTGATAGTAAAAGAATGTTTAATGGGAATATCATATCAGGTGAGGATAAAAAGTTCGATGTTTGACGGCCGGGTAAAGTCATAGAGTTGAAACTTTTTGCCCGAATTTTGTTGTTTTTGCTTCTTTGCATGTTCGTAGACGTTGATTGTCCAGGTTAGTGCAGTTCCAAGATGAACTGTTGGCGTCGGTGTGAACAGACGTTTCAACAATCTTGAAGGTCAACGTGTTCACAGACGTCAAACCTGACGTTTACTTCTCGCTTGATTCGGAATTTGACAACTCAAGCTGATGTCTGATGTATACCGCTAAGATTATGGAAACGTCAGTCAACATCAACAGTCCTTCTCAATACTCCACTAACCTGGAAAATCTACATTTACAAACATGTAACGATATTCCAGGGCTCAAAACGTGCACTTTATTTCTTTTTTTTTTCATCAAAAAAAATTTTTCAATGCAACCCACTTTGATTCATATCGGAAATATATATTTTTTGATTGCTGCAGTAAATAGTTGTTCCACTGAGGTCGAAAATTTTTTTCCAGTACCGGAAACTCCCCAAGAAAGTGGAGAAGGATGTTCAAAACTCCATACGAACACAGTAAGTACCTACCTTATATGAACGGTTTTTTGTTAGGGTGAATCATACATTTGGCTCTTTCCATTTATCTCGTCTATAGCTGTTTGCACTTCATTGTATTTTGAATTAATCATATATGCTGATTATATAGGTAGATGCTCGCCCCACGAACCAGGATGACTTGCCTTCGGATGATTCTTCTGCGCAAACATCGGAACCGTCTATTATTCCAGAATCACCGGAAGCCGTAAACGATGAAGAATCCAATCTAGGGCGGAGCGGAGAACAAGGGATCAAAATTTCCCTAGATACAAGATTCCGGGTCTTGGATTCCGATGATGATGATGATGATGATGATGACGTCACCGATGATGAAATATCCAATGCCAAAGATATTCACGAAGTATACGAGGCTGATGGAGCTAGGAAAACACTCACATATCAAATATCGGATGACGTACAACCCAAGAATATATTTTTGGTGAGTAAGTTTGGCCAGGTGATACGTACGTATCTTCAAGTTAAAAACTTTTCATAATGAAGTAACCGATATTTTAAGCCTTCAACCTCCGAGGGTAAAGTTTCCGATGCAGAGATGGGAAAGGAGAACGATATCAGAGATGTTGGAGAAACGCCACCGTCCGGAATAGACACCGTGCTGGAGGATGAAGAGAACAATATCGAGACTCAGGCATATGGCTTGAATTTCAACGTTGCGCAATTGGATAAAGAAACTGAGAACGAAACATCTGATGATCTCGTCATAAAAACGCCACCACTGAACGACCGTTTGAAAGTACCCGGAGCAATGAACTCTCAGGATCTGAATAAAGGTGAGTTTGTTTTTATTTAAAGTAAAAAATAGAGATGTTTCTCCACCAAACAGCGTTGGCAATAAGGTGTGTTGTGTGTCATTTTCAATAAGTGGTGGATTTAGTGTAGGTCAAAATTATAGGTTTGGTTTGAAATTTCTAAATAATAGTTGTTGGGAAACTCATCTCAGCTTTCCAGTCGCTGGTACAACAACACTCTGGGAACTGAGTCTTCGAACACATCCCTTGAACAAGTGTAGGAACCTTCGTTTGAGTGTAGGAACCTTCGTTTGAGTGTAGGAACCTTCGTTTGAGTGTAGGAACCTTCGTTTGAGTGTAGGAACCTTCGTTTGAGTGTAGGAACGTTCGTGTGAGTGTAGGAACGTTCGTGTGAGTGTAGGAACCTTCGTGTGAGTGTAGGAACCTTCGTGTGAGTGTAGGAACCTTCGTTTGAGTGTAGGAAGCTTCATGTGAGTGTAGGAAACTTCGTGTGAGTGTAGGAACCTTCGTGCGAGTGTAGGAACCTTCGTGTGAGTGTAGGAAACTTCGTGTGAGTGTAGGATCCTTCGTGCGAGTGTAGGAAACTTCGTGTGAGTGTAGGAACCTTCGTGTGAGTGTAGGAAACTTCGTGTGAGTGTAGGAAACTTCGTGTGAGTGTAGGAACGTTCGTGTGAGTGTAGGAAGCTTTGTGTGAGTGTAGGAGCCTTCGTGTGAGTGTAGGAACCTTCGTGTGTGAGTGTGAGTCATCCGGGAATTATAAGCCCATGCTTTAAGTTAAGGAAACCACCTAAATTTTTTTTGCACCTAAAGCTGCTCCTTACAATGGTTCTAATTGACATATTTCTCTCCCAGTCGTGCAATCTAAATTACGCAACAGCCCTAAATGCATTTATAAAGAAATTCCTCAAGAATATTTAAGGCTAAGAGTATTAATATTTAAATATGTATTAAAGTGTTTTAAAGTAAAAAGATATTTTTAATAATGTGTTTTGAGCTACCCTTCATCAGCTACTGCTGTACGAAGCTCTCGATCTTTCACTAACCTTTCGATCGTATCCATGTAAGTGATTTGTAAATGTAGTAAATGTAAGATTTAGAACCCCTACCCTCCCCTCCCTCCTCTTCCATCATCTTGGAAGGTTGTCTTCTTCTGAACTAGAGTAACATTTGTTTTTTTGGGAAACGTACGCTTCGAAAAATGACAAATGTGACAAATGTGTAAAATTTACATTTTGATTGATTAGAAATAGACGATGAGCCTACGCAAAAGTATTATGGACAAGAGAACGATGTGTCTAGCGAATGTTCAGATAACTTTCCACCACTTTCTGTTTTACTGAATTCAAAGTCAGGTGACGTTGGCGATTTTAAATTTTAAAAAATTTGCTCGTGGCGTTTCATGTCTTTTTCACTTTTCTTATAGACAGCGATGACGACTTCTCTTTCAGCAAAAACTCGTCACGAAAGAAAACTTTTCCCGCGGAAACTACTCAGGTAGATTTTTGGATCTGTATTTTATGAATTATCTTGATCATCTTAAGTAATTGTGCGCGGGGTTTGGTAACATTAACATGAATACCATCTCCTATCGCTTGTGGCATGTTTTTGACTGTTGCGTAGAGGGTGGGGGCCGTAGATTGGTGATTTGAAAGCAATTTTAGAAATCACATTTTGATTTAGGACGCTTTGTGTGTTTTATTACATCATTCAAATTGCCATGTTAATGAGCATTTACTGTAGAGTAGCCAGTCCACATGTTTGATTGTGTTATGTAAATATATTGCTGTTCACTCACTGAAAAACAGCGTTGTCATTACATCATTCAAAGTAAAATATTACTATTTGTTATATTGCCATGTGAATGGACACTTACAGTAGCGTAGCCAGTCCGCATGTTTGGTTGTGTTATGTAAATATATTGCTGTTCACTCACTGAAAAACTGCGTTTTCATTACATCATTCAAAGTAAAATTTTACTATCTGTTATATTGCCATGTGAATGGACACTTACAGTAGCGTAGCCAGTCCACATGTTTGGTTGTGGTATGTAAATATATTGATGTTCGCTCACTGAAAAACAACAGATTTGTAGATTTATAGGTGCAAATGATTTTTACAAAAGTAATTTGATTTATAAAGCATTACTCTTTCGCTATACTCTTCTAGTCGTTTGTATTATTTTTGTATTAAGTATTTTTGTTGATAATACATATAGAAATCGAGATCTCTTCGAAGCAACAAAACTCAAGAAGACAAAACGAACCACGATGATGACGTACCTATAGATGAGGACATTGAGGAATCCTGTGAGTCTCTTGTGGTGAAACGGGGTAGAGGTAGAACAGCTAGATATACGACTCGTGCTTCGACTGTGACAAGAAAATCAAGGAGACGAAAACCATCAGCCGATATTGCTACCGAGAATCCTAACTGCGAAACGGTGCAAAACACAAAAAGAATTTTGAGAAAAAGAAAGAATTCCGACGAAATTCCGACTGTCGACTCGAAACAGCAAAAAAGGGATACTTTAAAAAGTCACGTGTCAGAGAAAGAGGGAAATTCGGGCGCTGAAGATGAAGAAAGCGACTTGTTTCAGGTGAGATATTTAACTATTTCGCCACTAAGCTCGTGCATGGTTCACCAAAGGCACGGTGCTCTTGAAATTCAAGCATGCGTATCACACTCCAAAACTTGAAAATTTAATGACGAAAGCGAGTTCAAAAAACAACATGGTGTCGTCATGGCATACGAGGGACTTTGGGAAACGTTAATTTTGTGTACTCTATCATATAAATACAATCAATTTTGGCAAGTAATAAAGATGAATAGAGCTTAAAGTTTACGTATTGGGTTTGTCCCCCGTATGATTTAAAACCTTTTTATTAACTACAAGACCATCTTATATGAGCCGTTGATAACAGTCAACAGCGGTATTCTAAATCTCGTGGGAAGGTGCACGGTGCCTTCAATTCATTCGTTGATGTATGTTTTTTGTTTGCTGCAACATTCCTAAAAGATTTCTTTGATCGTTTTGACTTAGTTGCAGATTTCATTGGTTGAAAACGAAGCTGATCGAAAACGTGAAATTTCTCAATACTCCAGTCTTGCGGACACAAATCAGCGCAACCTGAAAAGAGATGATGATAAAAGTGGTTCTTATGTCGTGGTGAAACAATTTTCAGGCAATTTCTCAAAGATGAAGTCCAATGGTCTTGATCTTGATGCAGTGTGCGACGATTCAGGGGGGAAAGGATCTTCCAAGAAAGCCGAGAATCGTTCGAGTGGCAAGAAGCGCAAGACTCGAGGGAATTTTATTTCCAATGATGAAATTCGTCAACCTCAAAAAAACGACTGTGATACTCAGAAAACGCAAAAGGGGAAATACTTAAGGGGAAAACCAACGGATAAAGATAAAAACGTTGTCGCAAGCGATTTAGCTGAAAATATAAATCATAACGATGGCTTGGAAGGTAAAAGTGCACAGGATCAAAATAAATTCACTTCGTGTACGGAGAAAAAGCGACGTACATTGTCAAAATTTTCTCGCAAAAGTCGAAGAAAAGAAAGCGAGAAAACGAACGATTCATTAGACGTTGGCGAATCATCATCGAAAACGTTTGACAATGAAGAAAACGCGGAGAATAAAGATGTTGGCGAAGCATCATCGAAAACGTTTGACGATGAAGAAAACGCGGAGAATAAAGATGTTGGCGAAGCATCATCGAAAACGTTTGACAATGAAGAAAACGTGGAGACTAAAGATGTTGGCGAAGCATCATCGAAAACGTTTGACAATGAAGAAAACGTGAAGAATAAAGATGTTGGCGAAGCATCATCGAAAACGTTTGACGATGAAGAAAACGTGGAGACTAAAGATGTTGGCGAAGCATCATCGAAAACGTTTGAAGATGAGGAAAACGTGGAGAATAAAGTCAAGACTCGGGATCCTGTAGAGCTTAAAAAATTCCCTCGTGAATCTCGAGTTTCAAATGACAATGATTTGCTTTACGAGAAAAACAAATTCGATCATCTGGATGTTTTGCCAAGCGGCTTTCCTCGAGTGGATGCTTTCTCAAAAAGAAGTAAAAAGACGGAAAGTATTGGTAGATTTTCTAGGAAATCGTGTAGAAAAACCGCTGGTCGAGTGAGTAATGAAGGCACAATACAGGCGTACGACGATGAAAAAGGTTTACAGAAAGACGAGGAAAATATCAAAAGTAACTTTGTTGAGAAAACCGTCAAGAATTCATCACCGCTCGCTAGCGTTACTGCTCAAGCGAAAAAGCGAAAGTCTTCAAAGAATTCAGTTGACAATCAACATGAAACGAAAGGCAAGAGAAAACGTGCGGAATCTTCAAGGAAAGAAGATTTGAAAGTGGATGATGTCCAAAACTCTAATGATGCGAATGTACCTCATGTTGATGTGTCGAACGTACGTATATCCTTTCATTCATTTATTTTTGTAGTTTTATTTTATCTACGTCACTGAGGGTGTCACGTGTCCGCTTCTTGCTGTATTTTTATAAGAGAGAGGCCATATATCGTTGTGTTACTAACTTTTATGTCATTTTACTGAGTTTTGAGGAAAAAAGAGAAAAAAAATGAACGAAACGTTCGAAGTAGCTTCTAAAGATAATATTTCCATACATACGTAGAAGCACAATTGAAATAATACATTGACTATAACGAACAAACTTTTTTAATACAGACATGTTTCGGCAAACTTTTTCCATCATCAGTGTGAATGAATATGTTACGATATCGTCTAAAGAACAAACTTTTTTAATAGAGACATGTTTCGGCAAACGTATGCCATCATCAGTGTGAATGAATATGTTACGATATCGTCTAAAGAACAAACTTTTTTAATACAGACATGTTTCGGCAAACTTTTTCCATCATCAGTGTGACTGAATATGTTACGATATCGTCTAAAGAACAAACTTTTTTAATACAGACATGTTTCGGCAAACGTATGCCATCATCAGTGTGAATGAATATGTTACGATATCGTCTAAAGAACAAACTTTTTTAATACAGACATGTTTCGGCAAACTTTTGCCATCATCAGTGTGAAGGAATATGTTACGATATCGTCTAACTTCCATATGTTAATTAATTATAAATATTTGTAATGCTATCCTCATTTCCATTAACTGTAATTCGTTTATCTCTATTTATGTATTTAAGTATCACATTCTGTAACTCATTCATTCACACTGATGATGGCATAAGTTTGCCGAAACATGTCTGTAATAAAAAAGTTTGTTTTTTATATTCAATGTATTATTCTAAAGAGTAAAGAACGTTGTTTTTGAGTGAACGAATTACTTAGTGCGCCAGCGATATTTTATTCTGTGCCTATGTCAATATAATATAACGTTCAAAATCGATTGGCGAATTAAAACAGTTGGCAAGACGGATAGTGGATTGGATTAAGATTAGGAATTAAATGAAATTTGACATCGTGTAAATGAAAGTTGAGGTAATTGTTTGTTGCGATGTGATTTTGTTGAGACAATTTATTGGACCAAAACAGCAGTTGAAATAAAACTTTCCATTGTTAGAACATCTTCTTTGCAAATTAACATACATGTTGCTTTCTTAGCCTAAGTGATATATTTTTTTTTATCCAATAGAATGACCCAACAAAACAATCAACTCCACCCAATTCGGCCAGTAAAAGTTTGTCATCTGTTTCGTCATCGTCATCTAGTGGGAAAATATCGTCTCGCACAACTCGTCGATCAACAAAGGCCAAAAACGAGGTTTGTATCAAGCTATTTTGCTATCTACAGCTACAATTTTGCTATCCACAGCTACAATTTTGCTATCTACAGCTACAATTTTGCAATCTACAGCTATAATTTTGCTATCTACAGCTACAATTTTGCAATCCACAGCTACAACTTTGCAATCTACAGCTATAATTTTGCTATCTACAGCTACAATTTTGCTATCTACAGCTACAATTTTGCTATCTACAGCTACAATTTTGCTATCTACAGCTACAATTTTGCTATCTACAGCTACAATTTTGCTATCTACAACTGCTATTTTGCTACCTACAGCTACAACTTTGCTATCTACAGCTACAATTTTGCAATCCACAGCTACAACTTTGCTATCTACAGCTACAATTTTGCTATATACAGCTACAATTTTGCTATCTACAGCTACAATTTTTAATCCACAGCTACATTTTGCCATTCTACAATTTTGCAGCTTTTGCTATTCACAGCTACAGTTTTGCTATCTAAGTTTGCTATCTGTTTTATTCACAGTTACAATTTGCTTCAATTTTATATCTACTACTTTTGCTATCTGCAGCTACACTTGCTATCTAGCTACAATTTTCTATCTTAGCTACATTTCTATTCTAATTTTCTATCTCAGCTACAATTTTACTATCTACAGCTACAATTTTATATTCACAGCTACAATTTTATCTACAGCTTTTTATCACAGCTACAATTTTATCTACAGCTAATTTTGCTATCTACAGCTACAATTTTGCTATCTACCAATTTTTATCTACAACTAATTTTTATCTACAGCTACATTTTATTCTAGCTACATTTTATCTATCCAATTTTTATCTACAGCTAATTTTTATATCTACAGCTAATTTTTATCTACAGCTACATTTCTATCTACAGCTACAATTTTGCTATCTACAGCTACAATTTTATATCTAGCTAATTTTGCTATCTACAGCTAATTTTCTATCTACAGCTATTCTATTTTGCTATCTACAACTAATTTTTATTACAGCAATTTTGCTATCTACAGCTACAATTGCTATATTCAGCTACAATTTTGCTATCTACAGCTACAATTTTGCTATCTACAGCTACAATTTTATTATCTACTACAACTTTGCTATCTACAGCTACAATTTTGCAATCCACAGCTACAGTTTTGCTATCTACAACTACAATTTTGCTATCTACAGATACAATTTTGCTATCTACAGCTACAATTTTGCAATCCACAGCTACAATTTAGCTATCTACAACTACAATTTTGCTAACCACAGCTACAGTTTTGCTACCTACAACTGCAATTTTGCTATCCACAGCTACATAATGAGATGACAGAATGTTTTGGTCAACTTCGATGTAATTTTTATTTTGCATTCATTGCTAAGCAGGGACGTAAGCAGCTCGAAAATTGAGTTGAGTGGAGGGGGAGGGGGGATACATCATTGTATGCATTTTTTGTTGTGTTAATTTATGTTGTAACCAATAATTGTTACGATTGATAAAATCAATATATGAATACTCACATTTATTCTAAAACTTTTAGAGTCTTTCAAAGCAAGATCCAGTAAGAGTTGTATTCACTGGAATACACGATAACGCTTTGACTAAGGCGAAAAAGGTCAGTAAATCACATTTTTGATGATTAGTTTGTTGAGATCCTTACCGTCCACGGAAGGCTCTTGCATGTTGAGATCTTTTCCATCCACGGAAGGCTCTTGCAAGTTGAGATCTTTTCCGTCAACGGAAGGCTCTTGCATGTTGAGATCTTTTCCATCCACGGAAGGCTCTTGCATGTTGAGATCTTTTCCATCCACGGAAGGCTCTTGCATGTTGAGATCTTTTCCATCCACGGAAGGCTCTTGCATGTTGAGGTCTTTTCCGTCCACGGAAGGCTCTAGCATGTTGAGAATTTCTCGTCCACGGAAGGCTCTTGCATGTTGAGATCTTTTCCGTCAACGGAAGGCTCTTGCATGTTGAGATCTTTCCATCCACGGAAGGCTCTTGCATGTTGAAATCTTTTCCATCCACGGAAGGCTCTTGCATGTTGAGATCTTTTCCGTCCACGGAAGGCTCTTGCATTTTGAGATCTTTTCCATCCACGGAAGGCTCTTGCATGTTGAGATCTTTTCCGTCCATGGAAGGATCTTGCATGTTGAGATCTTTTCCGTCAACGGAAGGCTCTTGCATGTTGAGATCTTTTCCATCCACGGAAGGCTCTTGTCTGTTGAGATCTTTTCCGTCAACGGAAGGTTCTTGCATGTTGAGATCTTTTCCGTCAACGGAAGGCTCTTGCATGTTGAGATCTTTTCCGTCAACGGAAGGCTCTTGCATGTTGAGATCTTTTCCGTCCACGGAAGGCTCTTGCATATTGAGATCTTTTCCGTCAACGGAAGGCTCTTGCATGTTGAGATCTTTTCCGTCAACGGAAGGCTCTTGTATGTTGAGATCTTTTCCGTCAACGGAAGGTTCTTGCATGTTGAGATCTTTTCCGTCTATGGAAGGCTCTTGCATGTTGAGAATTTCTCGTCCACGGAAGGCTCTTGCATGTTGAGATCTTTTCCGTCAACGGAAGGCTCTTGCATGTTGAGGTCTTTTCCGTCCACGGAAGGCTCTTGCATGTTGAGATCTTTTCCGTCAACGGAAGGCTCTTGCATGTTGAGATCTTTTCCGTCTATGGAAGGCTTTTGCATGTTGAGATCTTTTCCGTCCACGGAAGGCTCTTGCATGTTGAGATCTTTTTCATCCACGGAAGGCTCTTGCATGTTGAGATCTTTTCCGTCCACGGAAAGCTCTTGCATGTTGAGATCTTTTCCGTCCACGGAAAGCTCTTGCATGTTGAGATCTTTTCCGTCCACGGAAGGCTCTTGCATGTTGAGATCTTTTCCGTCTACGGAAGGCTCTTGCATGTTGAGATCTTTTCCGTCTATGGAAGGCTCTTGCATGTTGAGATCTTTTCCGTCCACGGAAGGCTTTTGCATGTTGAGATCTTTTCCGTCCACGGAAGGCTCTTGCATGTTGAGAATTTCTCGTCCACGGAAGGCTCTTAAATGTTGAGATCTTTTCCGTCTACGGAAGGCTCTTGCATGTTGAGATCTTTTCCGTTAACGGAAGGCTCTTGCATGTTGAGGTCTTTTCCGTTCACGGAAAGCTCTTGCATGTTGAGATCTTTTCCGTCAACGGAAGGCTCTTGCATGTTGAGATCTCTTCCGTTTATGGAAGGCTCTTGCATGTTGAGATCTTTTCCGTTAACGGAAGGCTCTTGCATGTTGAGGTCTTTTCCGTTCACGGAAAGCTCTTGCATGTTGAGATCTTTTCCGTCAACGGAAGGCTCTTGCATGTTGAGATCTCTTCCGTTTATGGAAGGCTCTTGCATGTGGAGAATTCTCGTCCACGGAAGGCTCATGCATGTTTGTGTCAATTTTTTGTCCTTGCTGTTTGCAGATCGTTCAAACACTGCACGGAAAAGTTATTGACAACATGGACGACTGTACCCATTTAGTGACAGATAAGGTTTTACTTTCATTTAATGTTGCTATACCGTAGTTGAAATTTTTTGACTTTAGGGTTAGTATAATTAACAAACACGACTTTAATCATCGGTGATGTATTGGTGGGAGTAACTTGCTTATAGAATAAATTAACTATCGTAGATGTATTGGTGGGAATAGCCTATTTATTGTATAAATTATTCATCGGTGATGTATTGGTGGGAGTAAATTATTCGTTGTATAAATTAACTATCGATAATGTATCGGTGGGAATAGCCTGTTTTTAGTATAAATTCATTATCATTGATGCATTTGTGCGAGTTATGTGTTTATAGAACAAATTAAGTCATTAGAATGTGCTTATGCTTTAAGATCAGCTTTCAAATAAAATGTTAATGCTCTTTCGAAGATCAATGGAATTAGAAATAGAAGGAGGGAGAGAGGAAAGAAAGAGGAAGGAGGAAAGGGAGGAGGAAAGGAGGGAGGAGGGGAAATGGAAAGAGAGAAAGGGTGGAAGAAAGAAAGAGGAGGAGGGAGGAAAGGAAAAAGGTGGAAGGAAGGAGGAAGGAAAGGAAGGGAGAGAGAAAAGGAAGAAAGAAAGGAGAGACAAGGTACAAGGAACAATGATCTCACTTTTCCAGACTGCTGTTTGTGATCTTTTATTTAGCAAACGCCCCCCACCATTTGCATTTTTAAAAATTTCCTGCCAAATTTACCAGTCTGCTTTTCTTCAAAGGTGCGACGAACTGTGAAATTTTTATGTGCTGTTTCCCGTGGAATACCTGTTGTTGACATGTCTTGGTTGGATACATCAAAGAAGTCAAAATTTTTTGTCGGTCAGTTATAAATCATAGCTATAAGACAAGTAAGATTTAAATATACAATAAACACATACGTGAACCGGAAGCACAGAATAGATATCTTAGCAGAAGGTCCACTCGTGTCGGAACCTTTGATGTTCGTGTCTCCCACTTTTCTGAAGCAAATTCTAAAGCAGACACACTTTCCAGCAAGATACTCCTCTAGATTGCATTACAAAATATAGATGTTTTTACAAATACATCGTTTTGCACTACTAAATCTTGGAACCTTATCGTCTTCGCAAGATGATATATTTTGTAAAAATTTCGGCAAACTTTTGCTTTAAACGAGAATTATTAGTAAAATGGCATTCTCGTGCAATACTATTCCATATTGATTTTGTGAAAGTATCTTGCTGGGAAGTCACGCATGCGTAGTGAAAAAATACGCCACGATTTTAGCAGAGTGCGCCTTCTTTTAGATGTCTATTCTGTGCCGGAACTAAATTCATTCATAAATTTTGACTTCTGGATAATAGACCCAGTCCATTATCATCATAATCTGTTCTTTTGACATTGCTTTGAATTGAATAGATTCGCGTGACTTCATACTCAAGGATACAGAGGCTGAAAAGAAGTTCAATTTCTCCATAGAAAGGTAACGAGTCTTATATAAGCATGCCTATTGGTTAAGATCCACGTATGCCCAAAGATTACATAATATTAAAACTACTGCCATGAAGTTGAACCATTTATTTTTTTGTATAGCACTTTTTGTTCCGTATGATCTATACTTGGCTGTCAGTGCTTTAAAAATGCTGCTTCAATTAAGTTTAGAAAATAGGATCTATACGTAGCTGTCAGTGCTTTATAAATGCTGCTTCAATTAAGTTTAGAAAATAGGATCTATACGTAACTGTCAGTGCTTTATAAATGCTGCTTCAATTAAGTTTAGAAAATATGATCTATACGTAGCTGTCAGTGCTTTATAAATGCTGCTTCAATTAAGTTTAGAAAATAGGATCTATACGTAACTGTCAGTGCTTTATAAATGCTGCTTCAATTAAGTTTAGAAAATAGGATCTATACGTAACTGTCAATGCTTTATAAATGCTGCTTCAATTAAGTTTAGAAAATAGGATCTATACGTAACTGTCAGTGCTTTATAAATGCTGCTTAATTAAGTTTAGAAAATATGATCTATACGTAGCTGTCAGTGCTTTATAAATGCTGCTTCAATTAAGTTTAGAAAATAGGATCTATACGTAGCTGTCAGTGCTTTATAAATGCTGCTTCAATTAAGTTTAGAAAATAGGATCTTTACATAGCTGTCAGTGCTTTATAAATGCTGCTTCAATTAAGTTTAGAAAATAGGATCTATACGTAACTGTCAGTGCTTAATAAATGCTGCTTCAATTAAATTTAGAAAATATGATCTATACGTAACTGTCAGTGCTTTATAAATGCTGCTTCAATTAAGTTTAGAAAATAGGATCTATACGTAACTGTCAATGCTTTATAAATGCTGCTTCAATTAAGTTTAGAAAATAGGATCTATACGTAACTGTCAGTGCTTTATAAATGCTGCTTCAATTAAGTTTAGAAAATATAATCTATACGTAGCTGTCAGTGCTTTATAAATGCTGCTTCAATTAAGTTTAGAAAATAGGATCTATACGTAGTTGTCAGTGCTTTATAAATGCTGCTTCAATTAAGTTTAGAAAATAGGATCTATACGTAGTTGTCAGTGCTTTATAAATGCTGCTTCAATTAAGTTTAGAAAATAGGATCTATACGTAACTGTCAGTGCTTTATAAATGCTGCTTCAATTAAGTTTAGAAAATAGGATCTTTACATAGCTGTCAGTGCTTTATAAATGCTGCTTCAATTAAGTTTAGAAAATAGGATCTATACGTAACTGTCAGTGCTTTATAAATGCTGCTTCAATTAAGTTTAGAAAAAAGGATCTGTACGTAGCTGTCAATGCTTAAAAAATGCTGCTTCAATTGAATTTGAAAAATAACTTGTTTATTTCATAGTTCACTCAAGGTTGCCAAAAGTAATGGACTTCTTCACGGGTATCGCTTTTTCATCACCCCTAATGTACGACCTCCGCCCGCAGATATGAAAGGTTAGCCACTTGATAATCGCACACCTGATGCCTGTTTACCGATTGTATGTGATGTTTAACAAATAGATAACATTTAACCGTTGTCTATTCAGTTATAGATACACGGGTATGACGTCAATTGTGATAAAAATTAAAAAAAGTGGCCACGAGCCCCCTATGCGTTATCTATTTGTTTTATATAATAAAATCCAAAATATTCCCGAATTAAACCGTCAGTTTGTTTTCTTTTTCCCCCAACACTTGGAACATTGAAAAGTCTTGATTTTGCAAATATCATGCTTACGTGATCTATAGGATTGAAGAAATGCTATTGGCTAACTTAATCACGTGATAAAATGTGATTGGCTAACAAAATAGACAAGCAATGGCTGATCAATTTTGTTGAAATTTTGTTATCGAAGACGAAGTACAAGTTACTGTTTGAAAACCTTGTTTTTTCTTTTCTTTTTGCTCAAAAACGTTAACTTCCTCAACTGGGTCTTTGTAAAAATCTTTATTTTCCCATTCAGGGAGGTATTGCAATAAATTTTCAAATTTATCCGCCATTTGTTTGTTTTTATAAACATGAAATTTTCTGTGACGTCAATTCCTCTTATAGATCATAGCTCTCGACCAATGAAATTGCTGAAATTCTTCTGGTTATTATATAATACTGTTTAATTCTCTCTGTTTTAGTGATTATATGCAGTGCTTGTGGTGAGGTGAGTCAAGGATTTTTTTGTTCGTCTCAATTTTCACGAGCATCTGATTTTTCATCTCTGGTCTTTTTCAATGAAGCTGTAATAACCATCCTACAGACTTCTTGTCTTGTCATTATTTACATGTGATCAGCGAACTATTGCACATCACCATAACAAAGTTGATAATAACTATCCTACAAACTTCTTGTCTTGTCATTATTTACGTGTGATCAGCGAACTATTGCACATCACCATAACGAAGTTGATAATAACCATCCTACAAACTTCTTGTCTTGTCATTATTTACGTGTGATCAGCGAACTATTGCACATCACCATCACAAAGTTGATAATAACCATCCTGAAAACTTCTTGTCTTGTCATTATTTACGTGTGATCAGCGAACTATTGCACATCGCCATAACAAAGTTGATAATAACTATCCTACAAACTTCTTGTCTTGTCATTATTTACGTGTGATCAGCGAACTATTGCACATCACCATAACAAAGTTGATAATAACCATCCTACAAACTTCTTGTCTTGTCATTATTTACATGTGATCAGGGAACTATTGCACATCACCATAACGAAGTTGATAATAACCATTCTACAAACTTCTTGTCTTGTCATTATTTACATGTGATCAGCGAACTATTGCACATCACCATAACGAAGTTGATAATAACCATTCTACAAACTTCTTGTCTTGTCATTATTTACATGTGATCAGCGAGCTATTGCACATCACCATAACAAAGTTGATAATAACCATTCTACAAACTTCTTGTCTTGTCATTATTTACGTGTGATCAGCGAACTATTGCACATCACCTTAACAAAGTTGATCACGCGTAAGTGGATTGAGATTGAAAGACGCCGGCAATTTTTTGTCATTTTATATATTATTATTTGGCTTGTTGTTTTGTTTGGTAACTATCAATCTTCTTCGCCAATCATTATACGAAAGTTTCGCTTTCGTTTTCGTTTTTGTTTTCATTATTTAACATAGATCTCATGGTAAAAAAAACATAGAATATTATAGCTATAAGAAGCAAGAAATAATAATAATATCCACGAATGAGACTGTGAGGGTACTTCATGTAACGGCATTCAATTTTGTAGGTTGTTGCGAGATTCCCACCTAAAAATGATAACCAAGTGATAATCATTTCGTCTCCGAATGATCGACACCTCGCTGAAAAACATCACGTGAAATCTGCTTACTCAGCAGAACTTCTCCTCACCGGAATATTACGTCAGCAACTTGACTTTGAACAGTATCCTTTCGTTTGATAAGAAATAGAATATGCCAAAGTGCAGATAGTAAGGTCATTATACTGCATTCAACATAAGACAATAAGCATACCTAGAAGTCGGTTATGAGGAAATTGGATAGCAATATTAGATGCTTCTGACACTTATCACACCCTTACATTGTGTCGAGATTTATGATAAGAAGTTTACCTCTTTTTGGCATTTGCATGTGAAGATACTACGTCATAGTGACACAAACACCTTGCGCTTCACTGTGCGCTCTGCTAGATATTTTTTAAAGTTCGATCACAGAATCAACGGTATTGTCCAGTATGGTGTTATCATCCAGTAAGGTATTATCGTAGAGTATAGTAGCATTGTCGAGTATGGTATTTCCCAGCATAGTATTATTGTAGAGTATGGTACCATTGTCTAATAAGGTATAGTCCAGTATGATATTATTGTCCAGTATGGTATTGTCCAGGAAAGTCTTGTTCAATATGGTATTATTGTAGAGTAGGGTACCATTGTTCAATGTGATACTATTGTCCAATATGATATTATTGTTCCGTAAAGTATTATTATTCAGTATGATATTATTGTCCAGGATAGTATGCATCAGAAAGTTGCACAATTCGAAACCACGTTATTAATTTGCGAGTACTATTTTCCTTGAAAAATCGTTTTGTTATTCATCATCCATAATATCGACATTTTTTCATTCATGGTTTTTGAGTGTTTGTTTACTTTCTCTATTGCCAATTTATGCTGAAATTTTCCCCAATTTTCCTTCACTATATAAACCACCAGACACAAGCTGGATTTCAACGCGACGGATGTAGGAGAATCTGACTTAAACACTCCCGCAAAATCAAAAGGACGAAGAAAACGTTGATATTTATGCCTTCAGATAGGTATAAATAAATATGTTCGTTGAATGGACATGATTATTCCTCAGAGTTCACAATTTGATGCAATTAGAAATCTCTTCATGTGCACGGTACTTGTATTAGAAGCACATCTCCATCTTTTTATGTACTCTCATTGCAATATAAATTGTTTAGAACATTTTCCCACATAATAATGACGACATTCACGGTACTATAGTAGCACAAGCACATCTCCATTCTCCATGTTATTATGTACTCTCATTGCAATAAAATTTGTTTGGAACAGTTTCCCACATACTAATGGCGACTTTTACGGTACTGTAGTGGCACAAGCATATTTCCATCTTTTTATGTTGTTTGTATGTTATATAAATTGCTTAGAGAAGTTTCCCACATACTAATGGCGACTTTTACGGTACTATAGTGGCACACGCATATCTACCTTGCGTCTACCTTCGTGTCTACTTTAGTCTCTAATTTTGCGCGTACCTTTTTGTTTCTGGTTTTTTGTTTATCTTTGTTTTTATCCTTTTGTTTTCCTTTTTGTCGACCTTTTTGTCAACCTATGTGTCTATTTTTAAGTCTACCTTTAAGTCTACCTTTGTGTCTACTTTTATGTCTACCTTTATGTCTACTTTTATGTCTACCTTTATGTGCACCTTTACGTCTACCTTCATGTCTACTTTATATCTACCTTTATGTCTACCTTTGTGTCCACCTTTTTGTCTACATTTATGTCTACCTTTATGTCTACCTTTATGTCTACATTTATGTCTACCTTTATGTCTATCTTTGTGTCCACCTTTTTGTCTACATATATGTCTACCTTTATGTCTACCTTTTGTCTGAACAGACAACATTGAAAAGGCAGTAGCAATAGACGTGGAATGAACATTTATGGTCAGCATAAAGCTATAAGTACGTAGAGTTATCAAAATAAACCAAAAAACATTTTCACAAGGCAATAAAGAGCTTTACCTTTGCGTGCGTAGTTGGATGTCATGACAATACATATATTTACACATAAGGTGTCAGATTACGAAAGGAGGGAACGATGTAGGTAAGTTTTTGTATTTTACTGTATCGTATCTGTTCATGATGAGAAAGGGAAAATATGCGTTTGCTTATAGGCATTTACGACACAAACTTTCAAGCCTTGGATAAATTTATTAGGTTGATGGAGATTTTACCTAATAGTTAAAGTTCTTCAAGCTTCGTGCAACGCATATTACATGATAAAATTATACGATAAACTTTATCCATTATTTAGCGACCTTTGTGCAACCGACCCCTGGTAGCAAAGCACATGCATCTTGTGCTATTGATGAAGACTGGAGCCAGTGGTCGTTCATCGTGAGCAGTTAATAGGTAAGTCACACCATCTTCTGTTTGTCACGACAAGATTGCGTCACAAGGGTCGTTTACATAAGGATGTTTGAAACACATTATTTTATTCCGATCTTCTCCTTTCCATTGTGCCATGCTGTTCAGACATTCTGTATCCTTGAGAAACCAAAATTCGATTCTTTTCTCGCAGAGAAACCCAAAAGGTCTCTCAAACCTAAATTTACTTGAGCATTTCGTAAGTTGATCAACCGACTGGCAAGTTCCCAATTTGGTTGAGGTGCCATAATTCGCTTCCAGGCAAAGTCCCCACCAGGTCCTAGTCCTCGCTCGCCTTAATGTAATGACATAAAATAAGGAGAATGATGTCATTATTTTCGCTTAAATGGAAACCTTTTGATTTAGAGGTTGGGCCGTCGTCATTGTCAACCAAAATGCATTGCGCGCTGATGTTAATGTTATTTGCATGTTTCAGGGAAATAGCCTTAAGACTGTTTAACTACAATTGTTTATCTAATGCATAAATCTTCGCGTGAATGGAAACCTTTGATTTAGAGGTTGGGCCGTCGTCATTGTACAACCATAGTGCATTGCGCGCTGATGTTAATGTTATTTGCATGTTTCAGAGAAATAGCCTTAAGACTGTTTAACTACAGTTGTTTATCTAATGCATAAATCATCTAAGACGATCAAAAATGTTCAAGATTTGATAATGAACTTGTATGTTGCTTTAATCTATGAGCTAGCAAGATTAAAAAGTTGATATTCTATTTGTAGTTAGCTAGAACTATTAACACAAGTATATAAACTAAGCTTAACGTTATAAAATACAAGCAATTAACATATTTAATAAGTAAAATTTGTTCACTGCATAAATATTCCGCCCTATCTATGACTACTAACTACGTCTGTTTCCACTAATTACATTGATTTATCATATCCGTCTGTTTTAGTTTTAGTTATAGGAGAATATCGCATGTTTTGTGAAAAATAACAATGTTTTTTTGATTTTGGGCACTCGCCCTGTTTAATTTTTTAGTTTTATCTTGAGTAATCAACTGATTCAATATGTTTGCCTTTGTTAGGTAGTAAATTGAAGTAACTAATGTAAATTTTCTTGAGCCCGTTTTAAAACCTTTTATAAACTTTCCGAATCTCTTTCATCTCATTCGTGAGTCGGTCTCAATGGCATTTAATTTTATAATAGATGATCATGAACCGCAAAATTAATTCACGCAAAGCACCATGGATAACAGTCTCTCTAAATACACAGCAAATATGATAAACACTGACCTATATGCCAAATGCGGCTTAACGTAGGTACAACGATCCTGAAACCTGTGTCGTTGTTATGTTTTCCAAGTACCAGTCCCATAGACTCACACCAGTCATCTTGCTTATCGGCAAAAAAATCCATTTCTAGGGATTTGAAGTATAACCACATGGACTGGTTCAAGCCGTACGCGATCCCGCGCAGCGAACGGGCATTTCGTACAACAAACGTGTCCGGATGCGCGTTGATCATGTTCTCTCCAGCCCAACCTCCGAGTGCAAACTGTAAGATACCTTTGTTACGACGTTTTATCTCGCTCGAGTACCACATGACCTTGACGAAGTCCGGTGATAGGATCGCATCTTCCTCGATGAACAAAATATCGCGATCGTAACCGTGCAGTAGGCCATTGAAGATTGTTTCTGTGCATTAAATAGAGGTAAGATGTATGAAATTTTGTTGGGTTATTCTCGTTCAAAAGTGATCAACCGAATGTTGTTGCATTTAACCGTATGGTTCAATCATGCATAGCGTCAGTGAAACTTTGGTCCTGGGTAACGAGGGATTATAGATGTTAGCATGTTGGCATTTAAAGTTTTTGGCGAAAGCTCCCAGCACTTTATTACATGGCAAGCGTCACTTTCGGAAAAATGGCGCGCTTTGATTGGCTCAGAAACATATTGTCAGTCCGTTATTTTCTCGTAATTGACCACGGTGCAAAACGCGTAATTTTACAGTCAAATGTAAACAAACTTCGTAAAGCAAACAGCAAAACGCAAAAAAAAAACGACGCAAAACACCATTTGCGAATGTGAGTCGAAGGAAAAATACTCGGAAAGAGTTTAACTATCCAGACAATACAATTTGAAACGATTTCTCTTTTACTGACAAAAAACAAGAAAAGTGAAAGGCAACCCGTACTAAACAGCAAAAACGAGAAAGAAACAATCTTCGTTTCAGGCCAAACAATGCCATATCATAAAACTTTTACTAACCTCGCTTTCTCGGTCTTTACTGAGAATTATCGGTCCTCTGTCTTTTTTTACATACCTCTCCCTACGGGCTCGGTCTGTAGAAAAACACCTCGGTCCGATATTTCTCGGTAAAGACCTCGAGCTCAGTTATTAAGGGCTTATTATTCTTTTTTGACCTACTGAGTTTCACTTTATGTTTCAAGTATTACGCACCATCGTAAGTCGCATTGTACACTGTCTCTAGTACAAACCACCAGTGTAATTTCAGCCTCAATGCATAATTTACTTTATTGTTGTATCTATCATCTCTCCCAACCATCCATACGTAGGGTTGACACACAGTGACCTCGTCGATGGCTTCCAATGTCTCCTTTACATCTTGCTCGGTCGTCTTCGGGGTACGGTCTAAGGCAAAAACACAGACCGAAGATTTATCGATGTCTTTAGAAGCTACTGTTATAGATGCCAGACACTTTCGAAGGTATTTCGCACGGTACGACACGAAGAAGACAAAGACTCCTCGCCAAGGTTTGAATTCAGACCAAAGAGGCGTTGAATATCGTTCGATCCATTTGGGTAAAATGTTCAACTTTCTTTTTTCCCGTTTTATTCTGCCAACTCTTGGATTTGTTTGTCTTTTTAAGTCTACAATGAGATTTCTTACGACTTGGATTCCATCTTCAATTCTTCTCAATTCCCTTCCACTTCTCTTTGACTGTATATTCATTGAAGTACATCTTTTTGACGTTTGATGCTGTTCCGAAGTGAACTTCCACAACAACAACGTACAAAACAAAAACAAGGAAAAAACGATAAGGAAAGCGATTCGTAATTTAGACATTTTAACAAACCTTCAGCTTTCAATACAGCGTGTTTGTTTTCATATGTTAGTACGTATTCTTTCAATACAGCGTGTTTGTTTTCATATGTTAGTATGTAGTCTTTCAATACAGCGTGTTTGTTTTCATATGTTAGTACGTATTCTTTCAATACAGCGTGTTTGTTTTCATATGTTAGTATGTAGTCTTTCAATACAGCGTGTTTGTTTTCATATGTTAGTACGTATTCTTTCAATACAGCGTGTTTGTTTTCATATGTTAGTACGTATTCTTTCAATACAGCGTGTTTGTTTTCATATGTTACTTTGTATTCTTTTATTGTTTACTGTGTGAAAAATATTTTCGTGGCCGTGAATAAATTGCTAAGTGACCAAAATCGCCTGGAAATTTTTCACAACACATGCCAACTTGGCACTTTCAATGTGTTTTATATTGAAAGCTCTTTATATTAACATGTATTGATGACAGGTGAAATTGTCCACGAATAACGAAAAATTTAAATTGTCATCTCGCCACACTTCATTTACATATTTAGCTCAGTGGGAGTTTAATTAATCGAGGGCTTTAACATGGGATAGATAATCAAGCGACTTTGATTGCTTCGTTTGAAGTGTAGACGGTGTTCTGGGGATTTTTTTCAGATCCGTATGTGTTGTATATAATCAATTGTTCGGCTCTTTCATAAAAAAACGTGTTGAATGAATGAACGATTATCAAGTCAATGATAAGGTATTCTTTAGGATTAGGGAGAGAATTTTGAAATTCTTTTTATGAAAGTTTGGCGTCAAGACAACGATGTAACGATAAGACAATGTCCCAATTTAGAAACAAAGAGTTGTCTTACTGTGTTGAGTTTTTTCGTTTAGCGCATATCTTATTATGCATGTGATTAGCATAGTGGCAGCCAGTTATTGCTTTTTTTTTGCCAATCGGTGCACTGAGCTGGCTTGCCGCAGGTAGTAACTATTTAAATATACAGCGCTAAATTTCACAGTGAAGTAGGACCACTGATTGTTTCTATATTGTGGTAGTATATAGGATTAGGGAGGGAAGTTTACAATTCTTGGTATGGAAGTTTAACTAGCGTGCAAAATTGACGTTTGACCAGTGATGGTGCATGATAATTTTTTCAGTAAATATTGAACTTATGCAGATTTTTTCCTCCCATATCCACCCTATATTCTAAATATGAACCTTCTAAACACTTAAAGCACTTCAGAAAGATTGTTTCTTTATGGACTTCATGGTGTCTAAAATATTTTCACCGACACCTGCGCTGTTTGTGTGGACTGGCAATTTCTCATTAAATACGTGTTTAAGTTTTATAATGTACTGCAGACAAGTAGAAGATACGGAATGGCTGATTTGCTTTCTTCAAATGCTTTGAAGTGTCAGAATAACAACCTGTTATCATCCAGCTCGGTCCTATGAAAGAGCATTAGTGCATTTAAGACTAATGCGGAGTTTGAAACACTTCATAAGAAGAAAACCTGACACATATGCTCTCCCATGCAGAAGACAAATTCCGTATGAATTTACCTTACCCCGTCCCCCATGAGTAATTTCCCTCTCCATCAAGCCTTTTCAAAATACGATTTTACAGGTATTTTGAGCTATGAAGTGAAGACTGGTCCATCTCACCGTCAACAGTTGGTGGGTAAGTCTTCCTATACATGTCAATGTGGTATCTGCTCATGAGGGGAAAGGAAAACTATTCGTTTGTTTTTTTTCCATCTATCAGCAGCGTATTGCTTCCTGTTTTTCCAAAACTCACGTTACTGATTTGATGCAATTTTTACAAAGTGAAACTAAATAACATCATTGGCTCACAAACATCTTACGTCTATGGCCATATGTCGTTCTATGAAGACCTGTATGTCTTCATACAAAAATTTTTCCAGATTTCCTTGACTATTTTTCTTGAATTTTCCAACGTTTTCAAAAAAATTAGTTTTGGGGGGGGGGGCAGTTATATGCTTATATTTAGCTCTTTTTGGCTTCTTTTCAGTGCAACACATAAATTGTTCATAATAGTTAGACATAAGCATTCATCGACAACAATTTCGTTATGAAAAATGGGGAGTGAAGACTTTGGAGGGAGAAACTGGAAATAATCATACTCGACACTTTGATGATTTGACTCAAATACTTGAACATTGTAGTGTCAAATTTCGTATCAATTGGTATTTATTGCGGGTGGAAATATGCCTTCGAAATACTTCCGCAGAAACTGCAGTCACAATTCTATGCTGCAGTCACAATTTTGAACGGCAGTTACAGTCACAATTCTGAACTGCAGTTACAATTCTAAACTGCCGTGACAATTCCGACGTCACGCATTTTAACGTGAGTTGATGGTTAGGTAGGCTTAGGACCTTGGAGTTCAGTGAATACCTCAGAAATCTGACCACCCCTAGTCTGCACCTGATCTCACCAATTATTTGATGGAAAGGTAACTGATGGTAACTAAAAGTATCTGATGGAAAGGTAATAAAAAAATAAAGCAGTTTTCTCTGCAAACGTACTTTGTTGATGGCATGCTCCTTGTCAATGTCCTGTTATCAAGTATTGCGTCCTAACTGCAGGGACGTCTCGTACTTAGATCCGCGCGCAGTTACTTGGCTATTAATCTTGGTTATTGCAAAACCTCATGGAAAATTGTATACTCTTATTAGATTTCAAGTGAAATATCTCAATTATTAAACAGTGTTTCAACGGAAAATGCAAAATGAAGATAAGACTTTTCTCAAATTAAATAATGCTTGACCCAGTCTAAACGTAAAATCTCGAATTTGGCTTCTTTTTGGCTGAATTGGCCACTTTATCCGCTGTTTGAATTAGATTCAGTATGAAATTCATCAAGGCAATGATAACGACTAGGTCAAGTTTACAATATGAACGTTATTCATCAAGGTAATCATAAAGACTAGTTCACGTTTACAATATGAACGTTATTCGTCAAGGTAATGATAAAGACTAGTTCAAGTTTACAATATGAACGTTATTCATCAAGGTAATCATAAAGACTAGTTCAAGTTGACAATATGAACGTTATTCGTCAAGGTAATCATAAAGACTAGGTCAAGTTTACAATATGAACGTTATTCATCAAGGTAATGATAAAGACTAGTTCAAGTTTACAATATGAACGTTATTCATCAAGGTAATGATAAAGACTAGTTCAAGTTTACAATATGAACGTTATTCATCAAGGTAATCATGAAGACTAGTTCAAGTTTACAATATGAACGTTATTCATCAAGGTAATGATAAAGACTAGTTCAAGTTTACAATATGAACGTTATTCATCAAGGTAATCATGAAGACTAGTTCAAGTTTACAATATGAACGTTATTCATCAAGGTAATGATAAAGACTAGTTCAAGTTTACAATATGAACGTTATTCATCAAGGTAATCATAAAGACTTTGTCAAGTTTACAATATGAACGTTATTCATCAAGGTAATCATAAAGACTAGTTCAAGTTTACAATATGAACGTTATTCGTCAAGGTTATCATAAAGACTAGATCAAACTTTCAGTGTGAACGTTATTCATCAAGAGCTTATCATTAAGATGAAGACACGAGAATAGATATTAAACCCGAGTGTCAATACCTGGATTGACCTCTGTAAAAATGAACGTCGTATACATTCATTAAAGAAAAGGAAAATAGTCTTATGTTTGCCAACATTCAGTAAGCAAGTATTTACTTATTCTTTATGACAAAACCGCCTCACAAGCTCTGTCAAAAGGATCTTGTACATAAGGATGTTTGAAACACATTATTTTAGTCCGATCTTCTCCTTTCCAACGTGCCATACTGTTCGGACATATCGTATCTTTGAGAAACCAAAATTCGATTCTTTTCTCGCAATGAAAGCCCAGAAGGTCTCTTAAACCTAAATTCACTTGAGCATTTCCCAAATCAATCAATCTACTGGCAAATTCCCAGCTTGGTCGAGGTGTCACACCTCGCTCCATGCGGAAATCTCCACTGGGTCCCAGTCCACTTTTGCCTAAAGGTAAAGACAAATACTGAAAATAGTGTCATGATTTTTGTCATGACTGGAACTACTGTTTTATTAACGGGCTGTGTTGTTTTACTGCTTTCCATATTTCGTAATGCACTGCGGGCTTATGTTGGTAGATCTTGTTTTATACGATTTCTACAAATAACAAATGTCGATGATTTCAATGGCCACCAACTGTTGAATGAATGATCGCAAAGCACCATGGATAACAGGGACTTAAGCTCACAGCAAATATTGTAGACACTGACCTATATGCCAAAGGCGACTTAAAGTCGGCACGACGATCCTGAAGCCAGTGTAGTTGTTATGTTTCCCTAGTACCAGTCCCATAGACTCACACCAATCATCTTGTTTGTCGGCAAAAATGCAATTCTAGGGATTTGAAATATAACCACGTGGACTGGTTCAAGCCATACGCGATCCCGCGCAAAGCTCGCGACGTCCGCACAACAAACGTGTCCGGATGCGCGTTGATCATGTTCTCCAGCCCAACCTCCGAGTGCAAACTGTAAGATACCTTTGTTACGACGTTTTATCTCGCTCGAGTACCACATGACCTTGACGAAGTCCGGTGATAGGACTGCATCTTCCTCGAGGAACAAAATATCACGTTTGTAACCATGCAACAGGCCATTGAATATTGTCTCTGTACATTAAATAAAAACAAGATGATATAGGTTAGTGATGGAGTTTTTTAGTTGAAAATATTGATGATTGTCCGAATGCAACTGTGGTTTACGAACTTTTCAGTGAGGAATTTAATTCTCGTTATTACATTGGTGAATCTATTTCCCATCTGTCCACAAAGGATTAAAGTACATACACTTTCTGACACGAAAGACAAGTGCTGCTCAAAAATAAACGTATTAGTCATTGCCATGCATGTTTAAACAAAGACCAGCATTAATATTGGTATGACCAACTGAGCTATGAAGTGTGACTTCAAGGTCAGAGCACTGCACCGGCACCGCAGAGGTCAGGGGTTCGAATCCCGTTGAGTCACCTGATTTTTTCAGGTCCTGAGACGATTGCTTAAATTGTCCAGCAAAGTGCGAAGATCATATCTACATTTAATTAAATAATACAGTAAGGGATTTACTGGGGTGTATATTTGTCCTAATATTTCCTAGTGGACTCGCGAGAATGAGTGCCAATTTCCCTAAGAAATATTATACCTAAGAATCAAGCCAAAGTAATGGTGATTTGTCTTTAATGTAGTACACTTTCCAAATTTCGTGTAAAGGTAACAGAATGTTCTTCCAATCATCGTAAAAAGTAACAAGACGTAAAAATCCAAACTAGAGCACCCCGTCCCCATAACAAAATCATCCACGTTCCTTGATTTTCTATTTTAACGATATGTCATCCTATAAAGACTGAATATTGAAAATCTCGTGGAAATGGGACGTATGATTATTGTAATTGTTAGCTGCACGCAAAGGTGATAACATAATCTAGTTTGTCTAGATAAATCTTATAAAGTATTACCCACCATCGTAAGTCGCATTGTAGACTGTCTCTAGTACGAACCACCAGTGTAATTTTAATCTTAAAACATAATTTTCTTTTAGTTTGCCTTTTTTCGCCTTTTTCTTAACCACCCATACGTAAGTTTGACACATAGTGACCTCGTCTATGGCTTCCAATGTCTCCTTTACATCTTGCTCGGTCGTCTTCGGGGTACGGTCTAAGGCAAAAACACAGACTGAAGATTTATCGATGTCTTTAGAAGCTACTGCAATAGATGCCAGGCACTTTCGAAGATACTGCGTACGGTACGACACGAAGAAGACAAAGACTCCTCGCCAAGGTTTGAATTCAGACCAAAGTGGCGTTGAATATCGTTCGATCCATTTCGGTGGTACTTCCAATTTTTGTCTCGTTAAATCTAAAATTAGCTTTCTTATCACATCGATTCTGTTGCCCATTTTTTTCATTTCTAATGCGATCTTTTTCAATTGCAATTCTGTTGATGATGATCCTTTCGTCATCTGATGCTCCGACGCGAACTCCCTCAGCAGAAAAATGCAGCAAAATGGCAACAGAGAAACGATGATCAGGAAATAGATTCGTAACTTGAACATTTTAGCGAATGTTTTTTCGTTGCACCGATTTATTCACTGCAGTTTGGTGTGAGGTTACGCCAAACTATGCCATTGTGTCGAACGCCGAACAAAATTTAACTCTGTGCGTCATTTGTTTACATAAGTTAATTAATTTTCTGATCACGCTATTCTTGTTCGACGTTTTTACCCCCAAACTAATCGTTTGATGATCTTACACATCGTTGACTTGAAAAGCCCTAAAAATGACCTGCTTCGAAGGTAATCTGTATGATGTGAATTTGTTTTCAAATTCCACTCAGCAAAATGTTGAAAGACTCCACGAGGAAACTCATGGCAGAAGGCAGTGAAGCAAAGGTGAAGCCTAATTATATACGCAAACTTACTTCCGGGTGCCACAGCGAGATACAAATTACTATAGAAATGTATGGCGGACAACGTTTACAAACATGGATTTTCAAATATTTAAGACCTTTCGCGACTCCTTACTAACTTCAAGCATTAGTCATGGATAAAACAGGTTATGCGAATCGATTTGACATCAAAATGTTTCCGATAGCTGTAAAATATCGACTTAAGAGTTGATTTAAAAGTTGTACATGAGAATGTATTTTGTCCCATGTTGCCAATGCAAGATAGTTCACTGCTCGCTTTCCAATTTCTGAGGCATTTATGATCTAGTATACGTTTTAATTCTTTAGAAATGAGGTGAGTTACATTATTTATAATTTTTTCTTTATGTTGAGAGATTGTTGACATTTTATTTTTGTTGTAACTTCATTTTTCATGAGCAAAGTACTACTGATGCTTAAACAAGACAAGTTTATTTAGTTTCCATTTCTGTAGTTGTTTTTCTCAAATGGTATGGTCGCACCTTGCTGTAGCATTTAGATATGGTCTTAATGAGTAAATATGATTTTCGTGAACTATTCACTAGTAGTATTCAACATGTGTGCATTGAGATCCTTGAATGTGGTCCTCAAATCTATACCATTTAATACAGACGCAGCAATACCATCAGGAATTCCTTTCCCTTGCAGTAAATTTCCATTTGTAGCTGCCAACATTTTCTGAGCTGCAAGCACCTCTCTGTTTCATTGCATATTACTATAACACTTGCTGTTGGCTTAAACAAATTACCCCTGTCTTTTAAAGTCAGGAAAGCAGACTCATTTTTATGGTTTCTTGAACCGACTGCTTCATGACAAACAGGACAGTTTATTTTCTTTTGCACCATCTGGGCAACATAGCCGGCCATGTACGATATTACCACCTTTTTACATTCAGTAAATTTCATTTTCCTCTTCTAAGTGCTAAGCAAATTCCAGAAGATCATAGCTAGTATGAATGTTTATATTAATGCCTTCAATTTTTTTCCAAAAAGATTAAAATTATTCTTAAGTTATGAATGTAGTTAGGGATGGTATGAATATGAATTGCAGTTGACATTAGAATCCTTTTCAGCAATAGTTTGATTATCAGTCTTGAGTCTTGTAGTAATAAGAAAGACAAGAGCTTTATTCCACTTGTAAAGTGTGACTTTAACAATCGAACAGTTGACCAATTTACAGCTGTAGACAATAAACTGTTGCTGAGAAGCGGTATTCATGGCTGTAAAGCAATTAGCACAAGACAATATGAAACTGTTATACTGGATACAAATGGATACACTTATAATTATAAACTGTGGACACAGTCTTATGTTGCTGTAAATAATTTAAATCTGCTTAAGGGACAAACCAAAACCAAGATGATTATAAAGATTAAACAATGCACCCAGCTTTTGCACTCTTTAAGGGCCTGCAAATTCATACCTGGCTGACTACATTACCTTGATGTTTCAAAAGCAGTTTACTAATGTAAGTGTCCTAATGTGTGTAGAACGCATTTGTTAGATTTTAATGTCAATGAAAATCATACTTCTTTAAATAAATGAGCGCAAAGTGCGAGTATACCATTTGAGAAAAACAAATACAGAAATGGAAACTAAAGATGAAGTGCGAAAGAAACTAAATAAACTTGTCTTGTTTAAGCATCAGTAGTACTTTGCTCATGAAAAAATGAAGTTACAGCAAAAATAAAATGTCAATAATCTCTCAACATAAAGAAAGAATGATAAGAAAAGTAACTCGTCTCATTTCTAAAGAATTGAAAACGTATACTAGATCATAAATGCCTCAGAAATTGGAAAGCGAGCAGTGAACTATCTTGCATTGGCAACATGGGACAAAATACATTCTCATGTACAACTTTTAAATCAACTCTTAAGTCGATATTTTACAGCTATCGGAATCATTTTGATGTCAAATCGATTCGCATAACCTGTTTTATCCATGACTAATACTTGAGGTTAGTAAGGAGTCGCGAAAGGTCTTAAATATTCGAAAATCCATGTTTGTAAACGTTATCCGTCATACATTTCTATAGTAACTTGTATCTCATCGTGGTACCCGGAAGTTAATTTGCATATATAGTTGGCTTCACTTTTGCTACCAGTAGAAGCTATATCCAGTTTATTATCAGATCAGTGGTTGTATCTAATACGTGAGACGATAATGCGTTGGGCCCATTGAGTTCTATAATAACTGGAGCGGCTAACTTTACTGGGGCGAGGTCGCCAAAAAAATGGCGGCCAACGGACGTATTTCCGCTGAAATGATCGCTTTGCAGAAAAATAAAATTCTCGACCTTCCCCTGATGTCTATAGTAAATTATAAAAAAATTTTCAAAAACAAACACGATATCACAGAATATGGATATCGTTAGTTCCATATTCTGTGACGATATCTTTTTTGGCATTTCTTTTATAATGCCAACACTTCAATCGTTCAATTGTTGGATGTCGTAGTTTCCACAAAAAGGAACATATCGCTTCTCACAGGTGAGATAGTTGCTTGGTTTTTTAGTCCGTCAACGATTGAAAACTGAAAAGCAATTATACATGCACTTGAAAAGCCATAAAATACATATTAAAGATCGTATTTTTAAGACTGACTTGAACGCCAAATATACTGATGTTTTCCTGTTTTGTTTATAAAATTCTGCATACTTTTCTGTCATTTGTTAATGCATGAAATCGGAAATTCACCCATTTATTTGCAAAATAGTTTCCCTAAAAGACCCTGCACACATTTTGCTCTGTGAGTAAGTATCAAAAAGAAATGATCAGCCCCAACGGTACCCATGATTTGGAGCAGAGCTTGTTATGTTCTATTTGCTGACAACATGCAGGGAAGATCAAGGAATAAAGATGACTGGAAGATGTTATTGACCAGGCAGAGTCTTAAAAAATGATAATGCTGTAAAGATAATTGATTTATTGTCTGCCCTATCCAGAGTTATTTAATATGATCGTGGTCAAATTCTATGGATGGAGACAATGGAATCATTAAGGATGTCTTGAATGCTTTGAAGTTAAAGTTCATGATCCAAAGAAAGATGGCAAGAAGGTTGTGTGTCTTTTGACGCTTAATGAAATGTCAATTCACAAACATGTAAAATGGAAGGCCATAAAGTTTGTCTATGTAAACATTTGTACTGAGATTGATGATGACTCGATGCAGATGTGAAGCTTCAAACTGTATAAGCCATTGGGTTTTATGTAACTTAATGTTTAAATCATGTCATATCTTTATCAAAATATTTTAGTTGAGTGTTGTTTGAATGTTACTAATACCTAATGCACTATACTGAAGAATTAAAGATTCAGTGATGAAACCTTCAAAGTTACTGTACTGTATATTTCTTATATATTTCTTATATTTTTTTAAGAAAAATTTGAGCTTATTTACCTATTAGAGTACAGAATGGAGATTGATCATATGCATTATTGCTGCTTTTTTAAAGAAAAGTTTTTCACTTTTCAAAGCTTTTCTACAAATTTTCTGCTTCTTATTTCTTATCATGAGATTGATGATATAGAGGTAATATAATCCAATAACTTTCTAATTTCTAAAAAGCTATTAAGTTTCTAGCATAAAAGTACACTATAGGTATGTAATTCATTTGGTTTTATTGCCTTGCTATGACATATCTACTTGCACTACATTCATGTATGAAGAAAACACCAGATGTGGATACTCAGAGAACAAAATGCACTACCAACTGCTTATGAAATTTATTATTGAGGTGAAAACTATGTTAATCATTCAAATCGTGCACTTATTGCAAATATAGGAAAAACAAAACAAAGTGAAAAAGAAAGGTAGAAGTATTAAAACTACAAATGAATTATAAACACCATTGGAAGCATAAGTGTTTTGATGATTATTTGCATTTTGCCCAATTCATATATCAATACAACAAAATCAAAATGTGCTACAACTTTACAGTATTTAATGCAGTTGCACTTCAGAACATCACAAAAAGGTTCCTTAAAGTAATTTATATACAATATTGTTTGTTTTCATTTACCAAACCTATGCAGACTTGAGTCTTTGAAATTTCATATGAAACTCAATTACAGAAAATTCGTAAATATCCAGAGATGTAATATGTACTTTTTCAAAGTAACAAGTAAAAATCCTACAATTGTGTCGAAAAAAGCCATTGCCCATTGCATGAAAAGAAGCAAAATAGCAATGATAACAAATAAGCAAACTTCTCTCTCGTGAACCGTGGAGATGAACTATGATATACTTTTTGGTATAGACTAAAGAGTTTAATCGATCAAACAAGTTTGACGCTGGTAAGAAAACGACGCACATCTGCATTCATACATGTGTAGCCGACATATAGGTCTTTCGTCGATAGTTATAAATGCATCCTCGTAGGAGCACATAACTGACAACCACAGTTGACTCGCTGTTATGAATTTAAGGTTTTTACCTTGATTTTCATCAAAAAATTGCTTGCCGAATCCCAAATACACACATACATTTTCCTCACTCTTTCCTCAGGAGGGAGTGGGAAATTGTGAAATTTTCGGAAAAGCGGTCTATTTCGGTAAATCTCAGCGGCAAAGGACGAAATCCGCCATTTTTTCGGCGTCATCAGATATCTAAGGCCGCGCTTGAGATAGCCGCTCTAGTTATTATAGAACTCAATGGTTGGGCCCATTGAGTTCTATAATAACTGGAGCGGCTAACTTTACTGGGGCGAGGTCGCCAAAAAAATGGCGGCCAACGGACGTATTTCCGCTGAAATGATCGCTTTGCAGAAAAATAAAGTTCTCGACCTTCCCCTGATGTCTATAGTAAATTATAAAAAAATTTTCAAAAACAAACACGATATCACAGAATATGGATATCGTTAGTTCCATATTCTGTGACGATATCTTTTTTGGCATTTCTTTTATAATGCCAACACTTCAATCGTTCAATTGTTGGATGTCGTAGTTTCCACAAAAAGGAACATATCGCTTCTCACAGGTGAGACAGTTGCTTGGTTTTTTAGTCCGTCAACGATTGAAAACTGAAAAGCAATTATACATGCACTTGAAAAGCCATAAAAATACATATTAAAGATCGTATTTTTTAAGACTGACTTGAACGCCAAATATACTGATGTTTTCCTGTTTTTGTTTATAAAATTCTGCATACTTTTCTGTCATTTGTTAATGCATGAAATCGGAAATTCACCCATTTATTTGCAAAATAGTTTCCCTAAAGCAAAAGACCCTGCACACATTTTGCTCTGTGAGTAAGTATCAAAAAGAAATGATCAGCCCCAACGGTACCCATGATTTGGAGCAGAGCTTGTTATGTTCTATTTGCTGACAACATGCAGGGAAGACCAAGGAGTAAAGATGACTGGAAGATGTTATTGACCAGGCAGAGTCTTAAAAATGATAATGCTGTAAAGATAATTGATTTATTGTCTGCCCTATCCAGAGTTATTTAATTTGATCATGGTCAAATTCTATGGATGGAGACAATGGATTCACTAAGGATGCCTTGAATGCTTTGAAGTTAAAGTTCATGAACCAAAGAAAGATGGCAAGAAGGTTGTGTGTGTTTTAATGCTTAATGAAATGTCAATTCACAAACATATAAAATGGAAAGCCATAAAGTTTGTGTCTATGTAAACATTTGTACTGAGATTGATGATGACTCGATGCAGATGTGAAGCATCAAACTGTATAAGCCATTGGGTTTTATATAACTTAATGTTTAAATCATGTCATATCTTTATCAAAATATTTTAGTTGAGTGTTGTTTAAATGTTACTAATATCTAATGCACTATACTGAAGCATTAAAGATTCAGTGATGAAACCTTTAAAGTTACTGTACTGTATATTTCTTATATATTTCTTATATTTTAAGAAAAATTTGAGCTTATTTACCTATTAGAGTACAGAATGGAGATTTATCATATGCATTATTGCTGCTTTTTAAAGAAAAGTTTTTCACTTTTCAAAGCTTTCTACAAATTTTTGCTTCTTATTTCTTTTCATGAGATTGATATATGGTTAATATAATCCAATAACTTTATAATTTCTAAAAGCTTTTAAGCTTCTAGCATAAAAGTGTACTATAGGTATTTGATTCATTTATATTGCCTTGCTATGACATATCTACTTGCACTTCATCATTCTTGTATGAAGAAAACACCAGATGTGGATACTCAGAGAACAAAATGCACTACCAACTGCTTATGAAATTTATTATTGAGGTGAAAACTATGTTAATCATTCAAATCGTGCAATTATTGCAAATATAGGAAAAACAAAACAAAGTGAAAAAGAAAGGTAGAAGTATTAAAACTACAAATGAATTATAAACACCATTGGAAGCATAAGTGTTTTGATTATTATTTGCATTTTGCCCAATTCATATATCAATACAACAAAATCAAAATATGCTACAACTTTACAGTATTTAATGCAGTTGCACTTCAGAACATCACAAAAAGGTTCCTTAAAGTAATTTATATACAATATTGTTTGTTTTCATTTACCAAACCTATGCAGACTTGAGTCTTTTTGAAATTTCATATGAAACTCAATTACAGAAAATCCGTAAATATCCAGAGATTTAATATGTACTTTTTTAAAGAAACAAGTAAAAATCCTACAATTGTGTCGAAAAAAGCCATTGCCCATTGCATGAAAAGAAGCAAAATAGCAATGATAACAAATAAGCAAACTTCTATCTCGTGAACCGTGGAGATGAACTATGATATACTTTTTGGTATAGACTAAAGAGTTTAATCGATAAAACAAGTTTGACGCTGGTAAGAAAACGACGCACATCTGCATTCATACATGTGTAGCCGACATATAGGTCTTTCGTCGATAGTTATAAATGCATCCTCGTAGGAGCAGATAACTGACAACCACAGTTGACTCGCTGTTATGAATTTAAGGTTTTTACCTTGATTTTCATCAAAAAATTGCTTGCCGAATCCCAAATACACACATACATTTTCCTCACTCTTTCCTCAGGAGGGAGTGGGAAATTGTGAAATTTTCGGAAAAGCGGTCTATTTCGGTAAATCTCAGCGGCAAAGGACGAAATCCGCCATTTTTTTGGCGTCATCAGATATCTAAGGCCGCGCTTGAGATAGCCGCTCTAGTTATTATAGAACTCAATGGTTGGGCCACGTTGGACGCCACGAACTTCATATTCACGCGAGCCTTTTAATTAACGAAATCAGATAAAGCCTTCTCTCGTCTGTCCAGGGAAATTCCATTCCTTTCAATTGTTGTAATCTTTGTCGAGGAATCCGCTCCTCAGCTGGTTCACTAACACTCTTCGTTTTGAACCTTTTATTTTACAAGCTAAACAAGCTAGACAAGTACATCACTGGAGTATTTTCACGCTATTAGAGTTAATTTTTTAGAAGTTATTTATACTAACGATAATTACATAAGTCGAGTTTTCCTTTAAGTCATTAGCAGTACTCACTCTTTCATTGCGTTTCAAGTTCTCACGCGTTGCAACAAAATGAAGAACTGACTAAACAAACAAAGAACTTACAAAACGTACTTAAAACAAAGAAATGTTAAAGGAAAACTAACATAGTTACGACAATTTTATAGCTAAGCAAAAAGAATGCAATATCCCACAATCTTGTTTTCTTTCTAAGTTTGTGGTTGTGCCTTTACCACGTTATTTGTGTAATCATTGTCGTCCAATTTTATATCGTCTTCGGCGTTCTTTATCGCAGTGTGTTTGCGTGCTATCCGCTCATGCAATTAAATTTTCTGAAATACTCATAATTACCCGCTGCTCCTTTGGAGGCACGCACCTTGCATGTGACAGTGTTTTGTGTCTTCAACCGCTGACCACACTCTTCCGTTATTCAGCGTTAAATCATTTCAAGGTTAAATAGCTGGAATGTTATTAAACAAAAAGAATGCTAGCATAATGCTATAACCAATAACTACAAACAATAACGACCTTATCTAACAACATTTGAGAAGTAAATGGTTTGAACCCGGGAGTATCGTTACATGTTTGTAAATGTAGATCGTCCAGGTTGGTATAGTCCTGAGAAGGATTGTTTTTGTTGTTGTTGACTACTCCTCATTTCACTCTGAAGATGACTACCGCTAAGGTTGTCGAAACGTCAGTCAACAGCAACAAAAACTGTCCTTCTCGGGACTATACCAACCTGGACGATCTACATTTATAAACATTTGAGAAATTAACCTTCCACTCCTCTTCCTTGTAAACGAGACAAATCTACTCAAAAGCAGAGAGCCTTATACGCTACAAGTCCCGGGCTTGTGACCGGTATAGCAGAGTTAAAAGGTGAAAGGTTTATCATAGATTAATCAACTGAATATTCCTGCTCATTTTTGTTTGGAAGCATGTTGAACAGTTCATATGGACAAAGCACGAATTCCATATTAAATATCAGTAACATAATGCGGTGTTGATGTTAGACAATACATCATTGCCCTTGAGTGAAAGCATCCCACTGGAAAAGAATTAATCTAATATCGATGTTAAGCATAGATTGTTACAAGCATCCCGTTTGTAACATATAAGGGACTTGTAGCGTATAAGGCTTTCTGCTTTTGAATAGATTTGTCTCGTTTACAAGGAAGAGGAGTGGAAGGTTAATTTCTCAAATGTTGTTTGATAAGGTCGTTATTGTTTGTAGTTGTTGGTTATAGCATTATGCTAGCATTCTTTTTGTTTAATAACATTCCAACTATTTAACCTTGTGATTATACTTATACATATCGGCATAAAGTCAACAACAACAAAAACAGTCCTTCTCAGGACTATACCAACCTGGACGATCTACATTTATAAACATGTAACGATACTCCCGGGTTCAAACCATTTACTTTATTACAATTTAAAATGTCCTAAATATATAAACACCCTGCATCTATCCGTCAGCTTTTCATCGTCTCACTGAATTCTAAAACTTTTTAGGGTTTCCTGCAGCAAAATCTAGCGAGGGCTGTGTACAATCGAGTACAAGGCGAAAAGATGTTTACTGTATTTGCACAGGTGTATGCAAACCTCGGAGACCTTTGAGAGAATTCGAGAGCAGATCTTTACAAGCCCGAGACCGAAGGGCACTCCAGGCGGTATTTAGTGGGACCGATTTTAGAGGAGACTAAAGTTACCACTAATTACGACTTTTAGATATTGAAAGGTAAAATCAACAAAAATTCATTTAAAATAACGAAACATGCATTGAGCAAGAGTTGCTCACTTTTATCACAATCAATGTCAACCACAACAATGTATAAAACAACAAATTAAAGAAAACTTATTATTAAAGCCCTCTTTTTTATAAATACTAGTATGTATGATTCTTCTAAAACAATCTAATTGTTCAACTTTCATATTTTTGGAGTTCAACTTTTTGTAATGTTTTGGCATTTCAAACCAACCCTTCCCTATTAAACTATTCTCATGCTGATGGGCGGCGAGCAGTTCTTTTCTGTTTGATTGCATGTCTGTGTATCTAAAATTGCGTGTCTGAGCCCTTTCCTCCCAAATTTACCCGTTTGCTTTTCTTTAAGGTGCGACGAACAAAATGTTATCGTGTTGTGTCCATGCCTTTGTTGGATACATCAAAGAATTCAAAGTCTTTATCTGTCAGTAATAAATCATATATGACAAATGAGGTTTATATAAATAACAAATGCGAACGTCAACTGATGTCCCAGAAAGTCCCTCCCATGCAAGAGACAAATTCTTAGGAGATTTAACCTTTCCCCAACCCCATTAGGAATTTCCATCTCTCTCAAGCCTTTTTAAAAAACGATTTTTACAGCTATTTTGAGCTATCTATGAAGACTGGCCCACTTCACCGTCAACACAGTTGTTAGGTAAGTTTTCCTATGCATGTCGATATGAAATATGCTCATGAGAGTAAAGGAAAAATATTCGTTTGTTTATCTTCATTTACGAAACAAACATTCTTATTCGTCACGACAAGATTGCGTCACAAGGGTCTTGTACATAAGGATGTTTGAAACACATTATTTTAGTCCGATCTTCTCCTTTCCAACGTGCCATACTGTTCGGACATATCGTATCTTTGAGAATCCCAAATTCGATTCTTTTCTTGCAGAGAAAACCCAAAAGGTCTCTCAAACCTAAATTCACTTTAGCATTTTGTAAGTTGATCAACCGACTGGCAAGCTCCCAATTTGGTTGTGGTGTCACGCCTCGGTTCTTGAGGAAATCTCCACTGGGTCCCAGCCCACTTTTGCCTTAAGGTATATTTCATAATAAAATATAAAGGATGTCATTATTTTTGCTGATAATTGAAACTTTTATTGTGGGACAGGTTGCAAGATGACTAAATATTGCTCATTAGCACAAATAATTGATCGATAATTGGGGTAGGTAATATTCACACATGCATGTCATAGTTTGCAGAAAACAATTGATTTCAAAGGAACTTAATTCGGCAGAACATGTGTATCCCCCCTCTCAATTATCGAGCTGGCTGCGCCACAGATATTACTAGTGATGTTTTCAAACATATGAAAAAAGTGGTTTGATTATATGACAGACGTCACTTTTGAAATAGCGTGCTTCGATTGGCTCAAAAACATTTTTGCCTCTCAGAAGCAGATTTCACTCTTATATATTTTCAGTTTTGCCAAAGAAGGCTTTCCTCACTTTTAACTATGGAATTTCGGCGAAGCGAAGCATCTGGTAGATTGGTTTCTACACAGCAAATATGGTAGACACTGACCTACATGCCACAGGCGACTTAAAGTCGGCACGACGATCCTGAAGCCAGTGTTGTCGTTATGTTTCCCTAGTACCAGTCCCATAGACTCACACCAATCATCTTGTTTGTCGGCAAAAAAATCCATTTCTAGGGATTTGAAATATAACCACGTAGACTGGTTCAAGCCATACGCGATCCCGCGCAAAGCTCGCGATGTTCGCACAACAAACGTGTCCGGATGCGCGTTGATCATGTTCTCTCCAGCCCAACCTCCGAGTGCAAACTGTAAGATACCTTTGTTACGACGTTTTATCTCGCTCGAGTACCACATGACCTTGACGAAGTCCGGTGATAGGACTGCATCTTCCTCGAGGAACAAAATATCACGTTCGTAACCATGCAACAGGCCATTGAAGATTGTCTCTGTACATTAAAGAGAAAGGAGATGATATAGGTTAGTGATTGAGTTTTTTAGTTCAAAATGTTGATGATTGTCCGAATGCAACTGTAATTTACGTAATTTTCAGTGAGGAATTTAATTCTCGTTATTACATTGGTGAATCTATTTGCAAAGGATTAAAGTACATACACTTTCTGACACGAAAGACAAATGCAGCTCAATAAATTTGAATGATTTAGAAAACATATTAGCGTCCATAAATGTTACAAATACCAGCATTAAATTTTACAGGGAATGAATGGATTTACAGGTGCGTATCCGTCCTAATCTTGGCGAATGGTTGCTAGAGTCACTGACTATCTCCCAATCATTGTATAAAAATATCAGAATGAGACAAAAAGCAACATTTACAAAGAAGCCCCAAATATCTAATCCAAAAAAGATAATAAGATAATAACATCTTGTATAGAAATGAAGGTATGTTCTTTTTCTGAAAAATTTCTAAATTTTGAGCTGCATGCAAAGGTGTATAATCTAGATAAATTTTGTAAAATTACGCACCATCGTAAGTCGCATTGTAGACCGTCTCTAGTACGAACCACCAGTGTAATTTTAATCTTAAAACATAATTTTCATTTAGTTTGCCTTTTTGCGCCTTTTTCTTAACTACCCATACGTAAGTTTGACATACAGAGACGTCGTCTATGGCTTCCAATGTTTCCTTTACATCTTGCTCTGTCGTCTTCGGGGTACGGTCTAAGGCAAAAACACAGACTGAAGATTTATCGATGTCTTTAGAAGCTACTGCAATGGATGCGAGGCACTTTCGAAGATACTGCGTACGGTACGACACGAAGAAGACAAAGACTCCTCGCCAAGGTTTGAATTCAGACCATAGTGGCGTTGAATATCGTTCGATCCATTTCGGTGGTACTTCCAATTTTTGTCTCATCAAGTCTAAAATAAGATCTCTTACCACGTCGATTCTGTTGCCCATTTTTCTCATTTCTATTGCACTTTCTTTAAATTGCGATTCGGTAGATGAAACATGTCTTTCAGCCATCTGATGCTCAGACGAGAACTGTCGGAGCAGAAATATGCAAAACAGCAACAGGAAAACGATGATGAGTAAAAGGATTCGTAATTTAGACATTTGAACGAATGTTCTTTATTTCGTAGCGTCTATTCATTAAAAATACGATACATTTGCTTTTGCATCAGAGGTTACTATATCAAATTATACCTTGGTTTTGGCCGCCGCATGATTGCTTAACTGTTTCTTTGTGACTTAATTATTTACATCAACTTTATACATTTACATATCACGAAATATTTGTTCGACCTTTTCACCAATCTAATCGTTCAATTATCCTCAATGACGTTGCCTTTAAAATCCCTGAAAGATTGACCAGCTTCAACGGTAATCTAAAATCAAGTGTGAAATATGAATGTGTTTGTCGAAATGTCGAAATTCAACACCCGTATATGCATGACGTGTGGCAATTAAACACAACAATACGTGATTTGAAAATAATCCAATTTAGCGTTAAAAACAGTGTCTTGACTTTGTCTGGACGCTGAAAATCTCGTTTGGCACCTTTCTATTCATATACGAACGCCTTAATTTTTAAGTGGCAGAAGCTTACTTGCTCAAATTTCTAATTCATGAATTGCATGTTAAATATGCATGCATTGCAAATCAGCTTGTTAAGACAAGTACATCGCAGTGGCGTGCGGTCATAGCGTAGGCAAGCGCCGCTTGCCTACGCTTTTACCGAACAAAAATTTATTGGATCAATCTCTGAGCAAAATCAGTTTAAATTTTTCTGTTCTAAACAATGTCAATGTAATGTTTTGGCTAAATTGTCTTTACAGTTGAAATGCTTGCAATTTATACGCGATTTACTGTCGTGGTTTTCGGTTTCACTTTGCTACACTTGTAAGACGAGTCAAGTGTATTAAATTAAGTGGATGAAATTAATTATTTATTAACCAAGGCAAGCGAGCTTGCCTTCGGAGCTCAATTTGAACATTTGAGCATGCGTTAATCTAGATTTGGAGGCTTCTTATTCGACGAATATCGAGAAGCGCCGCTTGATAGCGATTTCGCCTAGAAGCGCCGCTTGATAGCGATTGGTCAACAGTCTTGTACGCTCGCAATTTTAAACACATATCAGCGCACGAATAATATTCGTATATTCAACACATTGGACATCCGAATTATTCACGCCGTTTATATTATCGTTTATTAAAAGATGACTGAGAGCGAAAGGTAATGTTCTGATTTCTAAGGTGCTTTACTGGTTATTTTATTATTTTCTGCGCACAATGTGCGTAAACAAGCAGGGGCCGCAGTCTGCAGAGATATCGACCAGGCTGGAAAGTATGTCTTCTGCGCACCGAAGATTTTTTTTTAACAATATTATTGCACACCAGGCATATTTGGGCATGGCAAAATTCAGCCATATTTGTGGGCGTGGCAGGGTAATTCAATGAGGCATATAGATCTATGAACCAAAACCTCATTAGATTGGCCTCCAGTTTTCTTGTGAGTACCGATAAGACTATAAAATCCTTCTACTATAGCCTCACAACCACTTGTGGAAAGAGCTACGTCAAGGGCAATTCACATTTCTTGGCGAATTGACTTTATTATATCTTCATTTGTGTACATGCTAGTGTACACAAATTCTTCGTTGATCCTTGCTTTCAATGCCTTTCCCGAAGAAAATTTCAGAGTAAACCACAAATCTAGTGCAGGATCCTCAATACATTTAAGGGAAATTAGCTGCTCCTTTTCAAATTCTGTCACTGGTTGGTCCTTAATAATTTAATTGACAGTTCTGTGTAAACGTGGGCGAAATTTGAGATGTTCACATCCAATTCAAATGGAAGTTATGCGTTGAGAAATGACATTTTTGTAAACAGTAACATCCGATATTTTAATAGCAACAAAGGCTTAGAAAGCAAGATTCAGTCTCTTGCAATATCACACACTGTATCATCAATATTCCTTAAATTACTATTTTTCCTTCCAAAGATTTTGCCACGTACAACATGTTTGACACAACAAAACACTGAAAAGAGCCTGTGTACACCGAGATTAGCGATACTTCGTATATTAATTTAATATTATTATGGTTTGATCGTCATATGCGCACCAGTGCACCATAAAATTTATTTTGCACACCAGCAGACCAGTTATTTCATAGTGCGCACCGGAGATCTCGTCGAAAACGACATACTTTCCAGTCTGGGATATCGAAATGCACGCAAACGTGTGTTGTGGTAAAGTATGACTAGCATTATGACCAAAACACTATGCTCTTCAGTCTTGTGTCGTTAAATTGTATTAATTGACTAAAATAAAAGGTACAAGATACTAAATAATAAACACGAATCTCCGATATTCTGAAACGTACGAGTTAGTGCCAGACACATTTTGAAGAACGGGAGAACACGTTGCCATGACGTCATTATACCAAAATATAAACATTAAACAACGCCATGGCCTCAGTTTGTAAACACACCGTGCCAATTTTTACGAACTGGCTGTTCTTAATTGTTATAATCACGACTGCTACAATACATTTCGCGCCTATTGTCTTGTAATTTTCTGTATGTAGAAGATATTATCTGTAGCGTGTAATACAAGATTATGATATTGACAAGAGCTTCCTTTGCCTAGTAGTTTTGATATTTGTATCCGGTAGATTTTGGCGTTATATATAAGTCTTTCGTATGAGCTCCGAAAGTGAGTTCAATGTACTAGAACGCTACTAAATTTTGTGATTATTTTATTCACTAGCGAAGAAGTTATTTACACAGTCGTGAGTGTTCTATGTGTTAGAATTTATTTACAGGCTTTTATATATTTGGTTAAAGAAGGTGCAGTTATTACACAGCGGATAATGTACTTGAAATTTGAGTAGTTTTACGTAATTATAAAGTTAAGTGCGTAAGTTTAAGAAGCGCGTTTGAGTAAGTGTAGGATTGGCTATTTCTCTATTGCTTATACATGAATCTAGATGAGTAATGTATGCACGTTATGTACAGGCGGATCTATTATCGATGCAACCGGATGCGAATGCATCGGTCAAAATATTTTAGATATTAAAATCTGCGAGTTTGCATTTTAATGAAATAAATAGCAAATATTATTTTCGAATTATTTAAACGCACATTTGACAGTGATATTGTTTAGTTAACTTATAGATTTAGCAGTTTTAGCGAAAATTTGTTCTAGAAATAACATTTGTGTTCTCCGATAATTTTGTCGTATTCCATGACACAAATAGCGAAAGAAAAGTCGATAAAATTTAGCGAAATTTTGTCGTGAATACATAATTAGTAAGCAATTTAATAGTATTCTGCCAGCACGTCACGGTAGACAAAGAGGCATCGCTACGTCACAGTAGATTTGTGATGCATCGGTCGATGCATCGGTCCCGAGTCCTTTTCCGCGTGAAAATCTATCGCACATCAGCAAAACCATTGCTTAGGCCTCACACGTCACGGTAGATTTTGCCGCTGAGCGATGCATTTTTCATAATTTTGTGATTGTGGCACATGGTACTCGATGCATTCAACTTTGAATTCAAAGTTGAATGCATTGTTATTTGATCATTTTGATATAACTGCAATCATCGATCGAAGTCATATTGTCGAGAATATCAAACACGATCTGTGTAATTTGCTTCTGCAAGAGAAGTCATTTGATATTAATGGAGGCCGAACCTATGAAACAGAGAGCTGCTACTTTTATTTCAAAATCCTCTCCTTGGAATCCCTTTTCAAAGGGTAAAATGGGAGAGATATGTCAAGTGAAAATTAAAAGTTAATACCTAAGCACTTGACAATTCATTGGCAAAGTGGAGAACTAAGAGCTTTAAAGTAAGTAAATTTACCTTTATGCCAGCATTGTTTGATGATTATAGAATACCCGTCCATTTTAAAGGCACCTATTACAGGCTTTAAGCCTTCAAAACAAGTATATTATAAAAGTAGATAGTGAGGGACGGTATTCTATAATCTAGCACATGTTTTAAATGTAAATAGTGTACTCATTTCAGAACGACGAACAATCATCATAAAATATACACGATGTCATATTACTTTATACAGCATTTATACTTGTATCATATGTAATATAATACAATCGCTGGAAAATGTTTCTTCGATAGTGAAAATTCAAAATTTGATTGAGCATGCCCCAGACCCCCAGGGTGCTCGCGCCTTCGGCGCTCGCAATGCATCGGTCAGCCATGAGCTGATCCGCGCCTGGTTATGTAATGTCACTACAAGATATACATGTAACTGATGTAAGGTATAAATAAGATTGATGTTCCTTTGTAAATATATAGCATAGAATTTCATCCTTATGTTCTACTTCATTCGGTATTTTCTACGACACCTGTACAAATATGACTGAATGCATTGTGGAATCGCTGTTATCCTGCCTCATTTGGATTGAGACCTTTTTGAAGATAAGATTCAAGAAACAACGCGAACAAATTCGTAGATTATTGGAATTTAACGTCAAGTATCGTCAAGTAGCACTGAAACGCGGGCAAAGTGAAGAGGATGTAAAGGCGTCCTTCCGTCAAATGTTTTTCTCAGTAGTCAATACCATTGCATGCAGATTGACTTAGATTCGAAAGTCTTAACAGCAGAGCATTCGTTTCTTTGTTGATCATTCAAAAGCACGAATTGTACAGCCGGAATTTTCCCTGAACGAGAGCTGCAATCGTTGTAAGATCTTATGGAAGCATCTTAATCTTCAAGTACTAAAAAGTGAACTAATCGTTGTATACTGCATCTGCCGAGCTCAATGAAACCTGTTTTGATATGATATCAAAAATAATCGAACTTGACTTTGAAAGCCTGTTTTCCAGATAAAATGGATTGTGTCAGCTCATTCTTACTATGCCAAGTACGTCCTCCTCTGCAGAAAGATCATTTTCGGCTCTCAAGCGTATCAAAACGCTTTGCAGTACACAAGGGCAAGATGACTTTCTTGGTAAGTTTGCAGGGGAAGCCACGATTCTATGAGGACGTTATAAAGGAGTTTTGCGCAAAGGAGATTTGATGAATTTACATTTAAGCAATCTGTAGGATTTTGACTATTTCTTGTTCTGTTACTTCTTCACTACAATAGAATGCACGCGTAGCCATTTACTTAAAACGACTTTATATCACAATACCACATGTAATACTTTTAAACCGTAATTGTGATATATACTCTATAAAGTTTTGAATTTTTAGATTTTGTTAATACTGTTTAGTCATGACAGATACATTTTTTCGACAAAGTACTCCCAGAAATCGCGAGAATGCGCCCAGTAGCCTTCAAAATCCAAAAAATTTTCCAGACCCTAGAGGGTCACTGCGGCAAGCCATGAACCTCACCCCAAGGCTTGCCTATTAAATTCGGTCACCGCCATTGAGTTCTATATACCTGGAGCGGCTAACTTTACTGGGGCGAGGACGCCAAAAAAATGGCGGCCAAAGGACGTATTTCCGCTGAAATGATCGCTTTGCAGAAAAATAATATTCTCGACTCCTCCCTGGTGTCTATAGTAAATTATAAAGAATTTTC